GACTATGTGATGCAGTGTTATATACCATGTCATCTGTATGTGGGTTTTATTTAAGAAATTGAGTCCATGGTAGAAAACTATGTAGCTTTATTCTGAGGCCACAAGTTGGGTGTGAGTGGTATGTCAAGGTTTCAAGAATTTTTGGATTGTGGCTTGTTGTAGATGGAATGCAAATTGAATAATTATGTTTGCAATATGAATTGAATGTGGTTTCCAAGGAAAATGCAAACAGTACAGTGAAATGAAACTTTAGGTGTTTTAAAATTTGAATTCAATTGTATTCTAATGTGAACACGTATATATTATTTTGATTCTACTATATATATATATATATATAAGAAACGAGTATGCAGGTTCATACTAAAGGGTGAAAATTTCGAATAAAATTATTAATTTAAATTAATCATGTCAATTGAGACATTCAATTTTGTACAAAAACTAGAAATTATGTATAAAATTATTAGATGAATTTGACACTAATGAGAAGAAGTGACCATTTTTATGTGTTACTCTATTATGTAATTCTTGGCTTCTCTTTCTATGTTAAAAATATGTAAGAGTTTTTTAAATAAATTTAAATTTTCTTTTAAAAAATTATAGCATGTAATCAAAATGTGATATAATCATTTTGAAAGAATGAAAAAAAATAAAAACACATAAAAGCTTGTGCCTAAAATTATCTATAAAACATTTGCCGAAACCATAAGTTTTACGAATCTAAAAAGATATTATACTTATTTGCTTTTAAAAAAATTAATATCTTGGAATTATATTACAGATATATCTACATCACTATTAAATTTTATTCACGCTAATACTTAATTGACAAAGAAACTACAAATATTGTGGTATTTTTGGTTATTTGTGCAAGTTGATTGGATGATTTCAAAGTTGTTTTTATTTTTATTTTTAACATGGAACATGCATCTAAATTTAAACATGTGATATCAATCATTCAGATGTAAAAAAAAGACATCAATTTTTTATGATTTTTATTAATAGTAACAATATAATCGTCATGAAAATACCATCATGAAAAGTATTCATATAGAAATGATGTTTTTGTGTATATGCAACGATGTGTAGTACAGGAGTTATATATTTGTCAAAGAAAATAGCTAATTTTTAAGGTAATTTAGAAAATTATTAGCTAATACTTTTTGAAATAATATATATGTGTACATATAAGACAAACTGATAATTATCCACCAAATATTATATTTTTATTAATGTTCTCAACAACTAAATATGGATATATAATTAAATTTTAAAATTTAAAATTTAAAATAAAATATCATAAAATAAAACACATATATGATATTACAAGAGAATTCTAGAAACAGCTTGAAATTCTTTTTCTTTAATATTTAAATTTGCCAGAAGAACATCAATATTTTTATAGATTTTTTTTTCTTAGTGTTTGTTGATTATTAAAGGCTTCGTAAAATAATTACAGTTTTTAATTAATTATTTCTAATTTCAGTATTATATAACTTAGACAAACAAAGGTTTTTGTAAAGATTGACCAAAAAGAAAATTTACAGTCTTAATAAGATTTATAGAGGAATAAAATAGAGTACATTATTTTATACAAGGGTTAGATATTTCAAAAATTAAATTAATTTATTATGACTTACAAATCCTCCTAAAGTTCTTTAAATTATGATAAAGTATATTATAAGAAAACTAAAAATAGTAAGTAATAAATAATATAATTATTTATCTATTTAACGATAAATTTAATGTATTTAAAATAAATAATGTATACATATATATATATATATATATATGTATATGAGTTTTACTTTTCAAATTACAAGGAGTATAATCCAAATTAGGATGAAAAGGAAAGAGAATAATATATGTTATATATATTATCAACATTGAACAATTTTTTTAAATAATGTTACATAAAGCAAAATATGGTCTCTGATTTACCTATATAATAGCAAAATAAGAAGATTAAAAAATAGAAGTAATAAAATAATACATCTTGCAATTTTAATATAAAGTAAAATAGTTTATAATTTATATCAATAATGTTTTTTTTACCATTTTCACATTGAGATCTTTTATTTTCCTAAAAACTTGTATTCTTAACAACAGTTTGTGTACTTAATCCTTTGGATGTACGGACTAGATTTGGTTGATTATTTCAACAATAAATACTAAAACATTTGACTTATTTATCTTTCAAACACAATAGGATCATTACTTATAGCAAGCTTGTCATTGTAGTCCTTACATTCTCTGTTTTTCTTAAATTTTCTAAGTCTTCAAATACAAATAGATAGATTAGATAGATAGATTAGATAATTTGAGATTTATATATTTTTCGATTGTACAATCTATTACTTCAGAATCATGAAAATATTTTATAAAATAATCGATTATTGTAGTAGAAAGACCTGTTGTTATTATATCTATTTAATTATTGTTATTCAGTAAAATATAGTTTAATATTTATTCCATTTTATAAAATAATTAAAGAAAAATTAACTTCAAATTCTTTTTTTTTAATTTTGTGTTAATTTGCATGAATAAATATTAATGGCCGCATAAAAAAAAAGCTCTTAATATCTTAATAGATTTTTTGACCTTATTATCATACGTAATCTTTTTCTCAAACCTTGTTAATAGAAAAAAAAGAAAACAAAAAAACAAAAAACAAAAAAACAAAACAAAACAAAATAAAAAACAAAAAAACAAACATACAAACAAACAAATTGGTCCTCAAAAAAAATCTTGAAGGCTTTTACAAATATCAAAACCATTTTACATGATTTTTTAAGAAACACATCTTTAAACTAGAAAATTTTGAATTTTCTTCATATTTATACACACTTCTTTGTTAAATATAAAATTATCTGAGAATTAATTTAAATATTAATGTAAAAGAGTATATGCTTTTTGAATTTGGTATATTTTTTTATATTATGGTTTTCCTAAATTAAACATATATACTGCTTAAAAAAAATTCGATCATAATTAATATTGACCGAAAAATAATTTAATTTTTTCAAGATATTATTCTCTAATATACAGTAAAGCTTATGATTAATTATATCTATACGTCTGAAAGACATAAAAATGTATTTAAATTTTTTATATCTTGTGAAAAATCGTATCTTTACATGTTCAGTTGTTACGATTTTAATAAGGTTCTTTGTAGTTTTTAATTATCTTTGCAAGAAAGTTTTTTCCACAATTTAATCCAATAATTTTTAAATCAAGGATAATGGATAATAAAAATTGCATAACTTTCTAACTTAGTGCTCAATGGTTAATATAAATTCATGATGATAAATCTTGTTTATTCGATAAAATAAGTTTTCTAACTTATAAATTAGATTTTTTAACAAAAATATTTCTATGAAAATTTCAGTTTTAAAAAAAAAATTATTTATCTATAAATCTTCCTCAACGATAGCATCTTTAAAAGATATATCTCTTTATTTTTTAGTTTAATTTATTACTTTTATAATAATTTTAAGACCCAATTAATTTTGTATATTTTTTTATTTTTTAATTTAGTTTTTTTCTCTGATTTTACAATTTAACATCATCATATTTTATCATAATTTTTTTAAATAAAAAATAATTTTAAATATCTTCTCTAATAAAAATACAAGATAAGCCAATATACTACTAATATAGGTTCATAGTTGAATAACTTCTATAATAAAAAAAATGAAGTTATTTTATTTATTAAAAAAATCTCAAAAATATGTATATGCCTAGTCAAACTTATCTAATAAACTAGTCTTAAATTCTTTTATTGTTGATTAAATACTTGTGAAACACACACACACATATATATATATATATATATATATGATTATTTTTCATGATTTTTCTCAATTATCTTAAAATATATGTTTTTCCTCTGTAATTCTATAATTAAGAAGCATCAAGTTGGACATTGTTTTATGTGTTTACTATTACTTAATTTTTGTTTGACACCACCATAATGACTTCAATTAAGACATGGTAAATTAAAGATAATTTTGTATATATTTATGTATATAGAAGACTTGGTCAAAGATATTGTTTCAGAAGAAGACTACTAATGTCTTTTATAATATTTTAGGCTTTATAAAAGTAATGCATTAGTCTTTGGCAAGGGTACAAGGAATGATTTAAATATCAAAATCCGTATTATTACCACTAATTTTTTAATTGCAAAATTTACATTAGGCTTGATTGGACCAAAATAAATCAACATTTTAATACAAATTAGTACAAAGAAATATTATGGAAGAAAGAACTCAGGTAAAAAAACTAAAAAATATCTATTAATTTCCATCTACAAAGTATGAAAGACAACAATAAGATAAAATTTTGTGTTTCAATGCTAGGCAAACTCAATCTGAAACAACACTATCAAATTTTGGGTGGCACCAAGCCCTCTTTGTACTGAAAATTTGTATTAAGTCTGCAACTAGGTATAATATACATTTAACTACTTGGTTCTAGAACTTAACATAATCACAAAAAAAACTAAAAAATTAAAAAAAAAAAAAAGTCAGTCTTAGTGTAGGTGTCAAGTGTTATATGAAAAAATCAATCCAACACTAATTCGATCATAGGAATAAAATAACGCCATTACTAAAAACTCACATTCCTTGCAATTCGACTTCCATTTAAGCAACAAAACCAGTTCTGTATTCATCGTTGAAACATTGTGAACTACGTTCATCCAGGAAACGAACGCGTATCCTCATCCATTCACTCACTAATTCATCCAAAACGACAGAACCATTCATCTGAATTTATTCATCCATATCGATGCGCATTCATCTCTATTCAATGTATTCATTCATCCATTCAGGCACGAGCGGGGCGTAGTCGCACGCACACACAGACAGGCAATGAAGGAAGGAAGGAACGCCGCGAGATGCGATACGATCCAATCATGGGAGTAAAGGAGGAAAGGGTGGGAAGTAGTAGGATCAGCAGTAGTTTGATGCGGATGCAGATGTAGTAGGTATGCCGCGATTGTCAATAATACACTCAGTCTCGTGAGGACCACCCTGACAAGACCACGACTTCCTCATCCCCTCGGAATGCGGCACCGTGGGCCAGCGAAACTAAGCAAACTAGCAAGCAAGCAATCATGTCCAGACCCCATAATCTCGCTGCCCAAGTCAAAAGGTTCCGAGCTTTCGATCCGCGCTCATCGCACACAGCGATGATGCTAATCATGCACCCTAGTATCCTGTTCTCGCCACTTCAATTCTTCACCTCTTCCACGACTCGAAGGCTCCCAATCCATCAAATCTTCCTACGACTTCCCCTACCCCCAATTGCTACTTCTCTCTCTCGCTCTGTTGGACTGGTGGGGAGGATGGGGTGCGCGACAAGATTAGTTGACCTGAGCGTAGCTGCGAGATGATGAGGGATGAGAATGGGCCTGATCGGGCCGAGGTTGGATGCTTAATGAGATAGGGTTTGCGTGTCTAGGTGAGGGATTGGTAGGGGGTGGAACAGGTTGCAGTGCTTGTCGCCAGGTTCGACTGGCAGTCGACGAGGGGAATTGGGTTTGATTTCGATGCGAAGGTCTGCGTGATGCTCTGGGAACAATTGCAACTACGTGGACTGCTTAGATGTGGCTTTTGCCGCATTAGTGTCGTGGAGTTTTTTGGAGCAGGAGCACCGCTTGCAGCCTGGGAAGAGTGCGAAGCCCATTGAGAAAGAAAAAGAGAGTTCCAAAAATCAGGTGGTGTGTTGGAGTCTTTCATTATTGCTGCTTTAGGATTTGGCTGGTATTTTAGGCGGTTCTGACTTGGTCGCGGCGAGTGGGAGATTCTCACTTAGACACACAGGTTGCACTATACCCTAGAGTTAGCTCCTCAATTAAAGTCTGTCTAGCAATTCTTCTGATGAGAATTGTAATTTTCGAGTAGGAACAGGTTGGTGATTCCGCTCTGAGCTCTGGCAATAATCATAATCCGTCAAATTTAGAATTGAATTGAAGAGTTCAAAGAGTTACAACGATGGATCGGAAACATGAGCAGAGGGCTTCAGACTTTAGGGTGGTTGAATTTGTGGAACCTCGAGAAGTCGACGACAAGGAAGCTCTCCTTGAGTACATCTCTGTGCGCGAAAAAGAAGCCAAGTTGGAGAGTGTTCGGTGGTCTGGATACTGTGAGAGCCACCCAGCAACGCAGATTTTAGACATAATGCGCGAATCCACGACGATTTTAAGAAAGCACAACGGCATTCTCCTTGCTCTAGGACTCATCCTGGCAGTCCCACTATCTACACTTCTTCTCTCCGGTGTGCTACTTCATCTCCCGGTCATAGACGATTTCGTCAGGATGGTGCAACTCGCTGCAGAGCAAAGGTTCAAGCAGCAGTCACATCACTCTGGGTACAGGAGGCTGGCGGAAAGTATGATGTCGAACTTGGTGGACATCCCTTTCTCGGCGCTGTTCTCCCCGCTTCTCAAGGCAGGCGTGGCCTACGTCGTGGCCTCCACCTACACTCGCAAGAGAGTCAAATTGGCGGAGATTCTCGAGACCCTGCAAAAGGTTTGGCTTCTTCTGGTGCAGACGTTCTTGTGGACATGCTCGGTGTACATAACCTTCGCCTCTGCATTCGTCACTCTGCTGTGGCTTGCTTCCAGGATCGGTGAAGCCTCCACGATGTGCAACAACTTCAGTCTCCTGGCTGCAGCTCTCGTGGGGTTGGCTCTTGCCGCGGGGCTAGCGATCTCGAATGTCATGTGCAACCTGGCATACGTGGTCACGATTCTAGAAGGGACTCAAGCAAGACAAGCTCTGATGCAAAGTGTCCGGCTTCTCAAGGGGAGGTTCGAGGTGGCGCTGCTGCTGTTTCTCGTCACCAACGTGAACGCCACCATGCTGGACGTTCTCTTTGAGTTTCACATTATCCGGAACGCGGACTCGTCTATCGCGCATGACAAGTACTGGGAAGCCCCGCTGCTGGTGTACATGCACTCGTTCGTGCATCTCTTCGACGCCATCATGATCAGCGTCCTGTATTACGTGTGCAAGTCGTCGGAGATGGAGAGCAGGGGCTTCCGTTACGACGTGGAGCATCTTGCGAGTCCTGACGATCTGCAAGAGGTGAGGTCGCCCTTTGCAGCTCGCTGAGCAGATCCTCCGCATTCACTTGTATATTAGTCTGCACCCCCATTAAATCGATTCCAAATAGGTCGTGGATGAGGGGGCGAATTGCACCCTATCCTTCACTATTTCTAGCAATCGCGATGTTTCTGTCGGCATTGATCATCTTCAAATTGATGGTCACGCCCCGGCTTATCAAGTTGTAAGCATTATCCACTTGTTCTCGTTTTTTCCTTTGCTGAATATTGCCGTATTAAGGCATTCTGAGCACTCACCGACTCCCCCTCTGCTTATCATGCTGCAAGCTTTATCTGATAGTTCTGGTCTTCCTCGCCGAATGGTGAGTTGCGAGGCATTCCGAGCATTCTCCGATTCCGCCTGCTTCTCAAGCTGCAGGTTTTATATGCTTGTTTGTCGTTTGATTTCGCTGAATGGTGCGTGTCTAGGTATTGTGATGGTCACCGACACATGATGGTCGTTGCTCATTCTTCGGTGGCTGTGCAAAAATGGTAAGAATTACACCAAGTGAGTTGCCAAAGTCACAAGCTTTCAGCGATACAATGGACGTAGGACTTAAACAGGTTTCTAAACAATCACCGAATTGTAAATCTATCAACTTAATTCATTGAAATATTTCCATTTTTTGAAGAGTGATTCAAATTCGTTTCATTCTTAATAGTGATTACAGGTTACTCAATGATCTTCACATTTGTTCTTTGAATTTGTTTGTTTGTTTGTTTGTTTATTTATTTATTTGTATTAAAATTTTCCTCCAAACGACTGAATGTAATATTAAAGCAATAATTTTCACAAAAACATTTATGGCTATTGTGTAAAATTGTAGCTCAAAAGTTTCATCCTCATTTAACAACTACATCTATTGTGACATACAAAAGATAAAATTTCAGTTGGACCTTTAGCTTTTGTAATATTTAGATTTTGAAACATTCATAATATCATTGTTTTACTTTAAGCAAGATATTTATAATAATAACCTTAATATCAATGATGAACGTCAAGAAAAAAAAATATATAATTATCTATAATATATATTTTGACATATCATTTACAACTATTTTTAGGAAATTGTTTTAGACTAAATTTGTATGTTTTATAAATACGAAATATATTTAGAATAAGATATTTCTTAGGTCTTAATATATCAAAATATTTATGTTTAATATTAAGTAGTAGAAATTTCAATATGTTTTTTTAATAATATTCAATTATATAATAACAATAAATTTATATTATATAAATTAGGAATATTTTTCTTTATATATATACACATACATGTATATTCCAAACTATGCTCTTAGAATTTAGGGCAAGCTTTAAAATATCAATTAAAATATAAATTCATATAAAACTGATCTTATAAGTGTTTTTAGATTGATTAATATACAACTATAAATAAAATTCTTGGATAAAATTTAACTAAGAACATATAAAATTTTAGAAAAAAAAAAGTTGCATTTAGATTAATTTTATTGCTTTGACAAATAATAATGTTTAACATGACTGTAGCTTTAGATCTACTTAGACTTATAAGATCTTAATTCTATTAATCAGATTTTTTATTCTCTTTTATTTTTCTTAAAAAATATTTTATTTTATTTTTATTAAAAATTAATTTTAAATATTATTAATATTTTATATTTATTATAAATAAATAATTTTAAACGAAGTATTTTATTTATTTTGAATTAAATGTTTTCTAGAGAAGTATAATCAAACTCATTTAGGTTTCAATATATGCATATACATAGATTTATTTATTTAGTAAATTAATAAGTCAGTAAATAATTATAATTTTATAATGTGTTATTTTTTCCTTACATTCAATAAACTAAAGATAAACAAAGAGAGTTAAGGACATTGCTTTCAAGTCTTTAACAAGAGATGTGATTTCTAAGTAGATATTGACATACATTTATTTTATTTTATTTTAAATACTAAAAAAATATTTAACTTATACATTGATAAAGTAAATAAATAAATAAATAAAATCACAACAAACAATTTAACCATTAATACTTAAGAAGATAGTGTTAAGAGTACCATGTAAATTATTTACTAATACTACTTAATCTGATACACTTTTGTATATTATCAAATCTCTTTATGATACTATAGAATTCAATTATCTTGTGAGTTTTAAAATCTATCAATTGTTTTGCAATCCAAGATTTGTTTCATCTCTTGATGAAGGTATTTTCATGTTTGAGATGTTTTTTTAATTTCTTCTTTAAGACTTTCCAACTAATTTGCTCATATCCAACTAGACTTTGTCAAATTAGAATTTCAGTATGGAAGTCACTATATATTCTTTTTTTAAACCAAACTTGTTTCTTTAAATTTATAAATTGTTTTTAGGAAGAGTCATTTAAACAATGATTAAAGCTTGTAAAATTATTTAAATCAAGGAAAATTAGTATTTGCAAAGATGGCTTACTTCTATGTTAAAGCTTTTTAAAGTCTCTATTTCTAGGAATTAGATGTAAGTCTATATAAATGAAAAGTGGACCAATCTCTTCTTTTATAAGCTTGGTGAAAATCCCAACATCTATATAAGATAGTTTGTAGATTTTAAAGAAGGCACAGTGCATAATAGATGTGAATATTTAGATTGACATGCCCTTGTTGTATATTAATTGCTACTCTTTAGTGTCAAATAAACTAGATAAATATGGCTTCTTTGCAATCATGGAATTGGGACCAAATATTGTTTCATTTTAAAAAGATATTGTAAATTATTAAGATATTTTATTTATTTGTAAAATTAAGATTTATTATTTTATAAAAGCTTTTGATGAACTTTAATTGAATAAGTTATTAATTCTTCATGTACTACTCAAAAGTACAAATTTGAATGAAAATTGAGTTTACTTATTGGTTAATAAAAATAATTAATGTCACATTCCTATTTCTTGTTAGTCTTGTTTTTTAGACCATTCTAATTATTTCTAAAAAGTGTGCCTCTTGATTTTCTATATCATCTTGAAATTTTTATTTTTTAAATAAATTAGATTTTTAAATTAGATAGAAGAATTTTAAATTAAATAAAAATTCAAAAAATATATTCTAATAAATTGAGTAATAGAAAACCATTTGTCTTTGTTAGTTTCTATGAGTTGTGTGGGTAATTAAAAGACTATTGATTGTAATTCGTTTTTTCTAAAGATATTCAATTCAATCCAATTTTAAAATTTAGAATGTATCTTATCTTGTTGAAGTGAAATATTTTAAGTTCAAAAAATAATTAGTATAAAAAAGTCTTAAGATTATTGGATTCTTATGTATATTGATTATAAGGCTCTTATAATTCATTTGGTTAGAAAACCTTTGGTGGTCTCTTCTATGTTAATTATACTTAAACCTTAGTTAGCTTGTACTTCAAAAGTTAATCATGCTACTTTGAATTAAATTAAGAAAGAAATAATCTTCTTAAAAAATATTTAAGAATTTCTTTTCTTTCAAATTTTATTTAAATATTCAATTTAAATAGATAAAATTGAAATAATAATAAATAATAAAATAATAATTACTATAATAATCTAATTAGCCACAATGATTTCAATAGAACATTAGTATTTAAATTTTTTAACTCATTCTATGAATGAAAAATTGATCAACATTATGCATATGAAGAAAGAATTCAAATAAGGTACCTAATAGCTTGATAGGAATTGTTGAGAGAAGTCCAATCTCATCCAATATTATTACTCTAGGTACATCAAAGGAATTTTTTATTCTTAATAGTCTCCTAATTTAGACCAATTGATTTCTAGATCTAAAGCCAAGTTAAACTATTTGATGGTTTTTACAAAAGTTTGTAAATTATCTTCTTTTTCTTTAATAGTAACAATATAATCATGTTGACTTACAACTTGCTTGTGAATACTTCAAAGTATGCTAAAGTTGTAAAGCTTATGATTTTTGACTGCATCTTCAAAAACTAAGTTAAAAATTTCTCCTACCAAATTCAAAAGACATATAATTAAGAAATATTTTTGTCTCACCTTTTTTTTAGAAAAAAATAATTAAGAAGAAATATATTTATATCAAAAATAATACTTATACTTTGAAAATTTATTTTAATTCTATAATAATATAGAATATTAAAACTAAAAAAAATTATGATTTGGAAAAATAAATCCTAAAAGATTTCATCACGTACTTAAGAGAAATAAATTTTGAAGAAGAAAGATTGGTTTGAGGATTTTGTCTAATTAATAATCTGTTGAGTAAATAATATATTATATAGAATTTATTATAGGAAAAAAAAATTATTTTATTTAGATGAGTCACTTCCATAAATATGGATTAGAGTTTCATTCGGATTACTTCAATAAATATTTTATAGATAATATTGAGTAGGATAATAAGACTTTAATTATTTAATATAAATTTATCATTACTTTTATAAAGTAAAGTAATATGTCCTTTGAAAATACTTTGAAGAAAATGTCTTTTAGCCAAATTTTAATTCATCATAGCTATACAATATTTTCTAAAGATATGCCAAAGTATTTAAAAAATTCTATTGCAGTGTTATCTCACCCCTATTCCTTGTCATTTTACAATTTTACTAATTTTTTAAAAAAATAATTAAAATTAAAATAACATGAAAATTTTACATTTATTCTAATACTAGCTTTGAGTAGAATGCTACTTAAAAGAGAGTTGGAAGCTTCTATTGAATTTGTAGAATTATGTTTATTTTTTTATAAGTATATATATATTTGGTATATCTATAAAAAAATATTCTTGATTGACCAAGTTTTTTGTAAGAAAAGAAGAAGTATTACTTATATTGCTTAAAGAGATAAATTCTTAAATTTAATTCTTTGTAATATTCTTTTGTGATAATAAATCAAAAAAATAAATATAAAATATAAAATATAAAAAACTAAAAACTAAAAACTAAATATTATATCATCTTGCATAATAATATTGTATTGTGTGAAAATCAAACTAACAATGTACTAGGCTTTCAGCTATAGAAGGGTTTGATATTACATTGAAGTTTCATTTTCAATCTAAACATTGCATAAAATGTCTAGAATACCTTTAGCAATCTTAAATAACCTAAGTAAATTCTTAATTATACTAATTATATCTTATCAACCATAAAAAAATCCTAAATATATCTTATTACACTCTAAATAATTTCAAATAAATCTTGAACAATCTTCAACAAACTTTAATCAAATCCTAATTAAATTTTAATCATATGCTAAAAGAACCTTAATTGAATTCAAACCAATCCTAACCAAATCTTAATCAAATTTTAATAAAATTCATAATTAAGATTATTCAAATAATAGTTAATTCTAATAAATTTGTAACAAAATCTTAATCAAATTTTAATCAAATTCTAAGCAACCTTGACTAAATTCTAATTAAATTTTATAGAAAATTCATTCATATATTTGCTACAAATCTTACAATATTCTCCAAAATATAATCTTTTTTTATTTCATAGAAACAAAAATCACCCCAAAACAACCTTAATTTTGCAAAGCTCTGACAAAGTCATAATGAAGTTAAATCACCAAAAACCAATGCTTAAAGAAGCCCACTTTAGTCTTCTTGAAATTGCTACTCTTTGATCAACAAAAGAACCTCAAAATAGCCATGGATGTGCCTTAGAATCTGATTTCAACCTAGATTCACAATTGGTTGTTTTTTAATATCAACATCTATGATTTCTAAGAAATTTTTGCTTTAAGCAATTGTTTCCTTCTACCTAAAGATGCCAATGATGATAATTTTTTAAATCTATCTTGTCTTAATATAGGCCCTATAAACTAAATAGAAGCTTTCTTTAAAAAAATCATCATTAGCATTTATTAGTTTTACTACCTCCTTAACTATTATCTATATTTTTACAATAGTTTTGTATTATATTTTGAAATGAGATCTTCTATAATATAATACTTTCATCTCTTTTTTATCCAATAGTTGTATTATAATACAACAACAAAATAAACAATGGTGTAAAAATACTAAGATGTGTAAAATCTAAAATTTTGAGGATTTAGCATCTTTGAATTAAGTGAAGAAAAGATTGATATTATAATACCAAGTTGACTTTTTTAACAATGAAGCCATGCTAGCATTGAATTGGAGCAATTCAATTATTATTTATGATTGGAAGAGCCTATGGATGGATTATGTTGTAAGCCAATTAGATTTAGCTATTCTAATTTTACAAAATTAAGATTTGTATTTGACCAAAGATCCTATGGGCCGTTTGTAATAATATTCTTTACTATGTAAGGTATATTACGGATAGTGGTTAGTTGGATTTCTTTTATTTACAATATACAAGAATTATTATACAACTTACTTGGCATAGTATTTCTAAAATTTAAATTGTAAAGCTTGGAGATTGTAATATAGGCTTTAGGAAATTATCGAATATGAGATGTTATAGAAAAAATAAATAAAATAAAATAAAAAATAAAAATAGACTTAAAATTAATGAGACTATTAATTTTAAGTAGACATTGTCTTATTCTTGAGACTATGTTGTTATGCAAGATCCTACAATTTGCCAAAATAGGTTAATAGAGACTTAATTAAAGTCTGGCTATATAAAAACCTTATGACTCCATGTTATGTTCTTCCATGCTCTCTCTATAGTAGACTCAATTGATCAAGGAGCTTAAATATCTAAGTTATTATCTTTGGAATATTGTAAGTTTATTTCCATCATCTTAGTCTAATTTATTTCAGCAACTATATCCAATTTGGATATTTCTTTTACTAAGGTCATGTTCAATAAAATAATATCACAATTTCTTTTATAACTAGTGATTGTACACAAAATCTACAACATTCAATGTATTACTTATTATGATTTTTTTACCTCCTCTTCTACCTTTGTGATGAATGATTTAAAATTTATCATTTTTTTTTTTTTTTTTTTAATATTAGAAGTCATTTTTTTAGCTTGAAAGTTATATTTGACCTACAAAAATAATCATAAGAATAAAAACTTCCCTCCAAGATAAGTCAAAATTTTGTACTAACTTTGTTTTGCTTCCTTCCATCTTTTTACTACTACCTATTTTATATAATAATTTAAACACAAATTGATGGACAAGTTTCTTTCCATTACTACTATTAACATTATGCATGACATTTAATTTAGACTGCTAGGCCAAATTACTAATAATTAAAGTAACTAGGACTTTCATCACAATTTCAAATGACTTTGAAAATGATTTTGATATTGTGTTCTAAATGCAATTTAAAAATAGGAAAAAAAAAAGTCACCTTTGACTCATTTATTATGTTCTAAGTTAGAAAAAGATTAAAATTGGCTTATAAGTTGGATTTTTTTTTGTTTTTATAGATGAATGTAGCACCACCTTGTTGAACATATTTTTCTTGATTCAAATAGATATGAAACCCTCTATGCTAACTACTTTAATACCATGCATGTTTTACAATGAATTAGCTATCATACTTGATGATTCATTTATCTTATCTATTGAAGCCTTGGATTTATTACTCTTTTGCACTAGTTTTGGAACTCTTCTACTTTGATTCAATTTATGCCAACTCTTTGTCTTTCATAATGCTAAGGAGCCATTAGTTTTATAATTAGTTTCTAAACAAAACTGATAATGTATAAATAGGTTCAAATAATCAATAAATATAGATTCTTTGATGTTGGTCATCAAGTCATTTACCTTAATTTTAAGCTTGTATCCAACTCCTAAATCCAATGCTATGTAAAAAATAAAATTAAATAAATAAATAAACCTACCATATTAATATTTCATTATCTAGACCATAACATAGAATATTTTTTTAACTAAGTTATAATTTGTAGAGTTATAGAAAAGAATTTTTTTGATAATATTTTTAGTACAATCAAAGGTGGAATATTAAATAAACTCCAATAGTAATTACTTCTAGATTCCAAATTGCTTACCAAACAAAGGTCAAATCTAGAAAAAAAAAAAAAAAAAAAAAAAAAAAAAAAAAATGCACATTTCAATCCAATTATTAAAATGTTCAAAGATCAAGTTGGATCAATACAAGGATTAAATTAGAATTTAAAAAGTTAGATCAATACAAGGATTAAATTAGAAAAGATTTTTAAATATAAATAATGAGGACTAAGATTTTTTTTTAATAAAATAGCACCTTCTATAATGTATTTGAAACATTTCTTTAAAACCTTGATACCAAAAGCATCCAATTTTTTGTCCTTAAAAAAGAAATAATAGTATTTCAACACAATTTGGCCACTTATTTTCTTACTAGCTCTTCATTCACAACTTTGTATTGTTTAGTGCAAATAACTTTGCATGGCTTCTAGAAAACCCCAAAGAAAGAGACATACCTTATAAGGGTTTGATTAAATGTAGATAGCTTTGTTATGTATGCAAGTCATAAGATGAAATCATCTTACATTCCTTTGTGAGATCCATGGGCAAGTTATGACAAGAGGTTCAAATGACAACTCTCTCATATGTAAGCACAATCTTCATGTTGCCAACACTCCTCCCTTCCTTGCTTTGCATATGTTGCCATTGCATCTATCTTTGCTTTGAAACCTTTAAAAATAAATAAAAATAAAAAAATAACTTTGATCTTGCTAATCTAATTAAGTCATGTTTACTTGCTCTTAAGCAAGACTAAAGCCCAATTTTACAATTGAATAATGTTGCCCAAACAATGCTCACAACCATTCTCAAACATTACAATACTTCAAAATCCTAACAATACATGTTCTGTCAATTAACATCCAACTCTTCCACTGTGTCAAGTTGAGTTCTACATTGACATTGATTCATTCCAAGACAAAAGATATGCAAAAATTTTACCAAAGATTCAAGCAATTATGTGCTTCTATTGAATTCTAATCTTTTAAGCTTAATTTCTAATCCCAAATTCTAACCCCCTTAAATCTTAACTCTAACTTTGGATAATAGCCCCTACATCCCTACTATAAATATAACATATATAGTAAAATTTTAAAATAACATGTATACATATTTCATCATAAATCTCACACAAGAATAAATTGCTCAAGATCTAAATAAATGGACATCATCAAATGCATCCAACTTTTGTAACATTCTTTCAAAGAACATAACAATGATGAATCAAAGCCACCATTATATAAAAGTGGTATAAAATTAATATTGAAAAATGAAAAAAAAAAAAAAAAAAAAAAAAAAATCATTGAAAGATGAAGAAATCTGCAGAAATTTAAAACTAATATTTCAAAAACAATGCAAGTTAAACTGTGTCATTCTATATACTAATCCAGGTTAATTCAATTTGATTTTACTACCTCAAAAGCAAGTCAAATTTGAACAACCATAGGCAATTCTTACTTTCCTGTACACAATCCATCTTAAGGTAAGAGCTTGGAGATTGTGGCCTAATCACCCACATGGAGAAATGGTGACAAGCATTGATTTTTTCTTTCCCAAAATAAATTTTGTACCAAACCTCTCTTTTGTAATTTACATTACTGTCATGGAATCTGCCTCACTTAGTATTAACTGAAAAATCGTTTTCTTTGTCTACAAAATATTTCCCATTCAAATCTAAAGCTACTCTTAAATTTTGTTGTAAGAGCAATACTTCTCCCACGTGGCTGGCTCACCGTGTAAGCTACAATGTCACAGTCAATACCACAATGTCAAAAAGCTTAATATTGAGAGCTCAAAATCTTTCGTATCTGAAGCTAACGCGCTGAGCGCCCCATATTGGTACAATATCTCACATGCCAATGCCAGGCGTGAGACGTGCTCCTTAAGATATCAAATGATGGACTGCACTCCTCTCGGTAAAGAATCATTATTTTACAGCAATGGACCATCAAGGTTGACAGCCTGCAAATTGACACTGCAAGGCCCATAGCTAAGACCAGTATAACTTTGTGAAGTGAAAATAGCCAATAACGAACCACTTCCAGGATGTGCAATAGAATCTAGGGGTGTATACATTTACGAAATTAAATGACTCCTGTGGTATTATGCTGATGCATATCAAATAGTTTCAAGAATACATTAACAGAAATCAAGATCGAAAGGAAGCGTTTGTCGTCCTCCTCCTTGAGGCTACTCTTCTCGAAGGCACAGGGATAATTACCATGTGCTCAAGTGTGCTAAGTACCTGCTCCACACCAATCAACGATTAGTATGTTGGTTACAACATTGACGGTTAGACAAAATTCAGGCCCCCATTGCTGGTAAGGCACGACACAACCGAAACCAGCGCACCACCGTAAGAAACACAAGTATGAATGAGAACCAAAATGCTAAACAACAATACTCTATCAAAATAGACTGAGCACCTAAGAATATCTGCGCGATTGTATTGAACGTAGCTTGAAATTAGCCAGATGACACGCAATATCTACAGAAACCAGAGAACCGACTCTCTGTACCTCACTAAATTCAGGTCTTTCATTCGGATCTCTATGCCAGCATCTTTGCATTAAGTTAGCTAGAACTGCAGGCACATACGGCGAAATTTCCGGACGGAGCCCCCTGAAACCAAACAAAAGAATATGAAAATCAGCACCGGACGATCCGTTTACGCACGCCAAAGTAATGCACAGTTGCAATCTTGCCCGCTACTCAGCTGCAATAGTAATCAAACAGATACAAACATGCCCTGTTGAAGCGTGTAGTCGAGCAGCTTTAGATCAATAAGACAAATGATTCGGCTAAACGACATAATTCTAAACGATTTATATCAGAACATAAGAAGGTCATCACGATTTTATAAAGAAGAAAAACATCTTTACGAGTATCGAGAGAAGCTAGTGAAGACGCACCGTTGGACAACACCAATTGCAGCTTGCAATGGGGTTAGGCCGGCGTACGGTACATCTGCAGTTAAAACTTCCCTGCACCCATCCACAAATGCACACGTTCAATCAAACATGAATTCACCAAAAGAGCATGGGAAACGCAGCATAATTCGAGTTTTCACAAGTAAGAGTAGTCAAATTTAGCGTACCACATTGTGATACCGAAGGAGTAAACGTCTGCTTTGTGGTCGTAGGGTTTATGCTCCAAAACCTTTCACCCACAGAAAGGAAGCAAACGTCAGAAAGCTATCTAAAACCCTACACATTGTTTCAGTTAAGCACAACATGCATAACGATCAGAAGTTCGAAAATTTCATGGACCCGATTGACACATGGGCAATTGGTAAGATTACCTCTGGAGACATCCACCGGTAAGTTCCCGTCTCCGCTGTCATTTCAGCGGAATAACAAATGCTTTTGTCAGCAGCATTGATTGTAGTAGGCTTAAGGCGAGCTACGCCAAAATCACAAACTTTGACGACCTGTTACAACAGTTCATGCATCTCAAATTAGAAACCTATCATTGCTACAACAATCCAATTAAAGTTTTGCGCAATAGGGCAATACATGAATAAGAAAACGGAATGATAGAAACTTACATCATGTTCATCAATCAACAAATTTGCAGCTTTCATATCTCTATGTACAATTCCCCTCCTGTTCAAATCCATAAGATGTTAGTAGATGCAACGTGAAATACTTGTAACGACAACTACCTATCCCTACTGCGAAGAACTGGACCATATTGATTAGCTAAATTCTAAAATGGCTTCCTGCCCCAAATAATGATTGTTCAAGGGAATTTTCAGATTGCGAGATCAAACATCTAAAAACTTAAACGGCTAATCCATACCTTTTAAGGACTTACACGACAAGTATCTTTGCATTAGTAAAGACCGTTTAAATAGTCTCCACTTAGCTATCGTCTAGGGATCAAAATAATTTCAATTTAACACAATCTCATCAAAACAATATAAAAAATTTAAAATTAAAAAAATAAAAAATAAAAAAAGCTTATGAAAGTGCTGCTTACTTATGAAGAAAGTCCATTCCTCTCGCAGCATCACGCAATAACTTGATTGCTGATGCAAGATCTAGGCCGCCTACTCGACTGTCAAGAAGATCCCGGACGCTGCACCCAAACAGAGCACACGAAAGGCCTTCAGTGAAGTCTGGAAAGCATTAGAATGACGTCGTAGATAGGCATCTACTAACCTTTGAAATATTATGCTGCACCAACCCCTATGACTAGTTTATATGTTCCACGTACCATCACACGGCCATATTTATGATAAACTCATTAACACCCATCATAGGAGCTTTTCGATACACTGACACACACTGTGACGAACAAAACAGAGCACTGCAATCACATACATATGAAAGTTACTTAAAAGAGTTGTACCTGCCACCAGCCATTAGCTCAGTGACGATGCATAGCTTGGGCCATTTCGAACAAGCGCCGATGAACTGAACCACATTTTTATGTCTAACCAATCTGCGTCCAGATGATTCCATTTCATGTTACAAGACGATTTTTCAGGAGCAACATTTCCGTTAAATGCCCCTGATCCTGTAACAGTAGTTCCGTGAAAAAATCCTACTTCGACATCACTCGATTACTAAACGAAAAAGAACACACCAATGTTAAAAGACATCATAGCGAATAGATTGAGATATACCCAAGATAACACTAAGCACACACCATACAAGAGATAAGAATACTAATTAATCTGATAACTAATAGACTGGAAGCATCAAGCTCGTCAAGTCAACGAAAGATGTCGAACTATGCCCTTTTTACCTCATGATGGAAACCTCTTGCTTGTAAATCTGAAGTCGCTCGGACGCGGGAGTAGACCTGTGAGTGTCGGAGTCTGTACCACTGCTGTATTCGTCTATCTCCATGATCTTAATCGCTACATCTTGAGACAAATAAGTTCCTTTAAATAATCTGCCAGTCGATCCAGTACCTAGTTTCTCTCCAATCTCAAGCTGCACAGTACGAAAACGTGCGAAACTTAACAGATTGTCTTGAAAAATACACATATTCCTAAGGTTCTGTGATTAAGTTCGTGCGATAGGAAGCCTACTTCTGTCTCTCATGATTTGGGCACCAATCTATACAATTTTTTATTATTTTGATGGAAGTAATTGTACCAAATTGAAGTCCACAGCCCAATCCTCGTATTGAATAGCTTCAGCAGCCGCTCGCAACCTTGAATCCCCAGAAAAGTTACGTCTTAAACCCGACCTTTCATCAAGGGCCGATATTACTTCTAGCTTCAATTCTTCTGCCTGTGAAATCACATAAACTAAAGCTCAGAGCACATGTAGAATTGCATAATCATTTCTACAAAGTGCACCAGTTCCAACTAACCATAACTCGAGGATAGTTCAAAATCCTCAAAAATTACAAGATAATGTAAGAAAGGACTCACCTCATCTCCATGCCAACCCTCAACTACAAACACCTCCAGCGCCATTCCATCTGTTGTGCTGAAAACGTGAGCTTCCTTTGACAAACCACATCCAAACAAATCCACCTATCAGATACCCATAACGACCCGCGACTAAAAATACTAGACGAAACCTTTCCAATCTTGCGAGGAAACTAGTTTTGGTCGATTAAAATCGAGCGAAACCAAATTTGACAGTCTCGAGGTTTAGTCCCAAAGGTTTAGACTCGGGGTAATAAGATACATACAACTTCTTGTGTTAACACGAACTTCGGAAAATATTATCAGTCAACAAGAGGAAAGATGGAAGTTGGGGCAACATCATCCTCACTTATCTTAAGTTACGTTTGGATCCGACTCATACATTGAACGTACCTTAATGTTTAATTGCAGATGTGAATCGCTGAGAGCTGTTGTAAAGTACCTAAGAAGCCCTTGTCTATCGGAAGTCGCAATCGTAATCTCGTACCCGAAGGGTGATGAAGCATCGTGGTGTTCGCTGGCATCATCGACGTGTGAAGAATTTGCAGAACTCCCAAATACAGGGCGAGGAATAGGATGATATGTGCCACTGCCGTTCAAAGGTGTTTCTCCAAAGGGAGAAAAACGGGGAGGTGTTCCCTGAGGTGGGATTGAAAATGACCTACTCATAGCAGGCTCGGACACATGGAGCTTAGGACTACCTACAAGTCCTAACCCTACCAGATTTGATCCAGACCCGAACGCAGGTTTCGGGATCCGCAATTCGTTTCTACTTGGTAAATCTTCCCTCGCAGAAGGAGGGAAAGCAGTGTTATCTGCTGCATCGCCTGGAGACGATCCAAACCCTGCTAGCTGAACTTTACGTACATGAACCTGTGGAGTAGGGACGACAGAGTCCCCATAGCTACTACAGCTAGAGGCATATTCTGCTTCACGCGCCTCTTGCAGAAGCTCCATGTGCAGAAGCACGTCTTCATGTCTGTGAGGATCAATATTCAAGGTGTACCTACAGATGTTTGCCAAAAAGATCAGCACTTAAAATCTAGGGTTCTCTCTGAGAAACATTAGGTCTTCCAATTCGCTGAAATAAAGTTGCCTTCTAAGACTAGACCCATTTCCATGACTTCATGTTTGGAAATTCTGTACAATATACATGATGCTCGACAGAAAATTGAATGATAGCAGAAATCCTGACTGAAAACACTTCGGAAAATCTATCCACGGAGTTCACTGTATAAAGGAGCACTTTGTGTGCATACGCAGGACTTGTCGAGGACCTGTACCTCTATCCTAAGTCTCATAGGTCAGTGTTTGCGGAGCTTGCACGGTACTGCGAAGAAAAGATACAAATGAAGGAAAGATTAATTACCTGGAGGGGAGACGGAGGAAATGGTCACGAAACTCGTAGCAAACCTCTTCGCCGTATCCAGAAGCTCGCACGCTCTCTAATATTTGCATCACCACGTTTTCCACAGCCTTCATCGACGAAGATGACACACTCTGGCTCTTTCCTCCGGAGTCACTGGAGCATTCACGGCTGTCCTCCATTTGTGCCGAAGAGCCTCGTGAGCAATCATTGGAGGTAGTGTTGCAGTCTTCGCCATTGCAATCCGCACCTCGCGAGTCGCCTCCCTCATCAGCATCGACTTGCAATGCCTCTGCATAACTTTCCTCACATTTAGCCACACCATTGCTCCGGGCATGCTCCAGCGATGCTCCGTTCCTGTTTCCGATGAATTCTAGCAATCCAACCGCATTCTCGTTGAAAAGCATACTAACATTTCCAAATGTGAACTGCGGCAACAGTAAGGTACCTATTTCTGACTATTTCTGTAAGCACTACTTCAGACGTTCCAGAGCCCACTGAGCGTCCGTACGAGGCTCTTTCCTGAATGAACACAATGATAATGAGTGTGCAAATCCTGAGCTCAGACTGAGCGTACTCAGCCGGCTATCGTAACTACTTGGTACGCAGTACGTCTCTCCGTTACAAGTGCGCCAACGACCACTTGAAGAGCTCCCAGGCGTTCCTCACCATTACACTCGCATGCTTGTCAATCGCTCAACAGAGACACGTAGCCAGCTCAACCTGAACAAAGAGGAACTTCTCCGCCAACCTTGTACTCTACGTCTCAGCAGAGAGACTTCTAGATCAAACACGTGAGAATTTGTTTATCGGTGACTATTCTCAGTAACTGAATATTATCGCCGAGGACGAACAAACCACCCACGCTCTTCTACTGCATGCCAAATTCCACAACCAGATTCACAATGATGGCGTGGTGTTAAGTCCTCATCAACATCGTTATTCGTTAAGAGGTACAGTTGCAGTCACACTCAACCATTTGCGTGATCGATTGAAACTTCTCCAAAGGTAGTTCCACACCACAATACAGGGTCTAGTACACAGCCAATATGCTGCTACACACAGCCCCGCGGTATTCTAACCTACGGCACGGTTGCAATATCGCATCAGACGGCACGGTTGTGAAACAAACACCAAACCGAAGCACCAGTTGGAGAAACAAGCTAAATTGCAAACTGCCTCCTAAATGAAGAGGACTACTACAAATTCTCTAACGTCGTGGTTTTCACTTCAAATTTGAGTGCTCAATCCCAATCGGAAGTAGTAGCATAAGAGATGGTAGATGAGGAATACTATGTCACAATCACTAACACTTTCATTATCACACACTGAGTGGGTGAGAGAACAACAGGGAATAAGAAGGCCTATCGAATATCCGACTGAATGTGCAACAACACACGGAGTGGAACCCCGAGTCACTTTGAAAAGGGAGGTGGCGAGAGGGTAAGAACAATGACGAGGAAAGCCGTGTCAAGAGTGGCAGCTCAAGCAGCAGATGAGGTGGTGCGGCTTGCGATACACGGGGGGGAGTAGAGCAAAACCCGCGAGCAGTGCCAGTGCAGAGGCGCGGAGTTCCTAGAGTGGGGTGCAGTACGAAGGTTAGAGAGGGCGGTGAATTTGGCTGAACTGAAGAACAATTCGGGGTAAAGAAGCAGGACGACAGCGAAAGGGGAAAAAGGCCTCGTTTCCAGCGGAGCCCTTGCGCGGGTTGCTATCCCCAGTCTGAGTACGAAATGTAAACAGACAACTACAGTGATCTGCTGTGCTTTGCTGCTTCACAAAGCAGTCCCCATGTTGACCTGACCCCACTCTCCCCTCCGCATCCACGAAGCTAATCTCCGCTTATGTCCCCCCTCTCCGTCGGGATTCATCAGTCCCTGCACTTGGTTCCCAGTCGACAGAGAGAACTTGGGAACGTTTCCGCAGGGAATATTCTAATGCATGAGGAATATTCTCTCTCTCTTTTTCTTTCTATTCCAAGGATCCCGTCATTCGGCTGCTGCGGCAATGGGCATCTAAGCATAGGGTGGTGGTGTTGGGAACATCCAAAACAAGCCTGGACAGTGACCGCGGCAGTAAATCCAGTGTGTACAGCATTCAGAGGACAGAAAAGCTGGATGAGAATAATGAGAGTCAAAGCATCCTCCAGGATGAATAGTGGTGACGGAAGAATTCATCCAATGAGACACCTGGGCACGATGCAGATTCCAAGCAGAACAGTCCAACTTGTCCACTAATGGTCATGGAGGTGATAAATAGTTTGAGGGTCCCTTTGCCCTCTACTCCATCAACCATTCTCCTCCTCTTCCTCCACTACTCCACTCCACAACCCACATGGGCCACTTCCAAAAACCCATCTGGTTCCATTTCCCATTTTGAACCCCATCCTCTCAGCTTGGTTGAAAATAAGGACTCTTGAAAGCAAGTAATACGGAAAGGGGTTTCATACCCTGCACTTCCATTGTCTCTAACGAGGCCTATTTGTCATTTTATATTAATAGTAGCCGTAGTGTGAATCAAATTATGATGCCACTAGAATTGTCCTTGTTGTATACAGTGGTTAGCACTTCCTTGCAGCCAAGCATCCTCATGCTCTTGGGGGGTCTCAGTGGATACTTGTGTATGAAGCAAAATTGTGTGATTTATGCATAGAATATTATAAAAAATATTAAAAAAAAAAACTGTCAAAGTATTATACAGACTGCAAGTTGAACCCATAATAAACAATTAAATCTATAAAATATTGGTAAGGACATTAATCAATGGCTATGAAGGTATAAACATTTAATGATTTTTTTTAATATTTTTTTTTTGTAATCTTTGATGAATATGTAAATACACACACGTTATTTTATTATTAAGAACAGTGAACAAATAAATGAATCAAGATTTATTTGCAATTATCCACTTCATATCTCAGTATATATATATATATATATATATATATTTGATTACAAAACAAACTCAAGATCCAATTGGTATTTTATTTATTTTATTTTATTTTTCCCTTCTTCTTTGACGATGCTAACAATTTCATTTCACATTTCATTGATATGCTACAAATTTTGTCATTATCATCATGAGATGTGGATTACCTTAATCTCTAAATCCCTTATTTTATGGGGGGGAGGGCTGGTGACCAAGCATTAGATCCACTGCATTGACATGTTCAATGCTTTAAATTTATGGGTATTTGGATTTCCTCAATCCACATCAAATAGCAGATTCACACTAAATATGATAAAAAAAAATAAAAAAAATAAAATAAAGCGGGATTGGAGGGGCCCACGTAAGGTTCAGGCCACAAGATATTCTATTGATGTGGGCCACTCTAAATTGGAAGAGCTTTGGTTAATGCATGTAATGAAGCTGAGGTGTGAACAAGGACCTTTTTCAGCCTCATATTTTATAAAGTGACCTCATGTTTTCTGTGTTGGACAGTTCCCAAAAAACTAAAGTTGATATTTTCCTGCTGATCAATGCATAAACCTATGTTGATTGTTGCACATATTTTTAATACACTATACTTTAAACCACCTATCAATGAAAGCAAATATATTTATTACAAATTAATAGTGGTTTGAAAGTTATGTATTAGAAATGATGCAATTCACTTTCAGATAGATTTTTTTTTGAGATTTTAAGAAATGTGTATGATAATATATATTTAAAAATAATAATCCGTATACGTAAGAACAACTAATAACTTTAACAGTGTTTCTGGTGAGGTAATATAAAGAGGTTCAAGTAACATTATGTGACCTCAATTTTTTGCAAATTTGATAAACGGCCAACAATGATAACTACCATCATTGATCAAGTTTTTATACAGATAATTATAATATTACACTTTTAAAATCATGCAATAGACCTTCAGAGAAGGTTATGATAATAAAAAGGAATAAAGATGAGACTCCAAGATATTGATAGACATCTTTTCTTTGACTCATTAACACAGTAAGCTTCACAGGGAAGAATATCATATGAAAAACAAGCCTAATATATATTAATTTATTGCATAATAGGGTGGTTGTTATGAGAAGATGATAGCAAAAGATGACAAAGGATTGGCATAGCTCTTTTAAAGATAACTCATCTACAAAAACAGTTAAATGCTCACAATTTGATTATATATATATATATATATATATATATGTGTGTGTGTGTGTGTGTGTGTGTGATGTATGGGTTGGTGAAAGAGGAATAATGTGTGGACTAAGAAACATTCTAAAAACCTTTGGAATAATAACGAATGCCTTTTAGAAAGAGGGGAAAATGTATTGAAAAACCTCTTCAAATTTAGAAAAGAATACCATGAAAGAGATGTTTCATTTCATCCATATTCTTTTTGTACCACACAATTTTAGAGGATTGCAACATAGTGTCTTGTATTCCAATCTGTCTCAATAAGTTTTGTATATAGTCGTGGCTATAATTATAATACTTATAACGCAATATTAATTTATTTTTGCTTAGGGATTGGTGACCAAAACCCAGTCGATTTAGTAAAAACCTTGGTCAATTTCTCAATTCACATTTGTCGAATGCTATCTCAGTACGTTGGAAATTCTTACATGCACTTATTCATACAATAGTCTTGTTTATGTATTAATCATAGAAAATTGCATTTTCTTATTCTTAAATCAAATATTGTTTCCAATAGCAATTCATCATTGTCATCATTTCCATGTAACCACAGTCCTTATTAAGAATCACATAAAAATAAAAATAAACTATATAAGGCCAAAAATTCAAACAGCTGCATCCATGCATGCCTATATATATATATATATATATAAAGCATCAAGACAACAATTAATTTGAGTACTTGTCAAATATCATTGATTGCATTGAATTATTAAGGTCCACGTTTTCATAAAATTAAGTAACATACATATCTGTTGGAAGAAAATAAATGTTGAAAAAATGTAGATGCATGTGTTTATTTATTTATTTCCTAAACATTCTAAACGAACTCTGTTATAGTTTTAATTTCTTCATACAAAAATTTCCAACATTGTCTTAAATGTCAACAATTGCTTTGTAAACCCTGGTGATATGTAATTGTTGGCTTTTAAAGGATTTTTTTGCTTAATAAAATGTTATGATATTCCTAAACGTACATTTAACTAAATGGTACACAAAATGTACAGTTTTAGCAATAAAATTTGAAAGCTAACCCCCAAAGTAAAAAGGTACAACTTTTTACTTTTGTGTCATAATTTTTCTATTAATGCACAATCCTAAAACATACAACTAGTTTTAATGACAATACCACATAGAATAAGTTGAAAAACAGTAAACAAACAAACAAACAAACAAGTATCTTACCGAAGTACATATATAAATGATGCTATATGTGTTACCAACTTCAAAAAAAACCTAGAAAAAATCTTGTTAAGGATTTGTGAAGAGTTTGTTATCATATCTTTTCTTTTACATAGCCCAGAAAGATACTGCAATTCCGTTTCACGCAACTGAAAAGATAATAAAACTTATTTGAAAGGAACGATCAAAAACAGCAATGTATTTGATGATCTTTTTTCCATGTCAGGCTTAGGAGTTACGCACTCCTTGACCTCTCCATTAAAACAATGAAGCCATTTAATCGTGAAAAGTCATTTAAAGATGTGGAGCGGAGGAATCAATTCGATTTAGCAAAATGGTCCGTTGGCACCAACCCGCCCGGTCCCGGCAAGCCACGTCAGATTTAGGTGGGGTGGATATGGTGAGCTGGAATACCCGAAGCCTGACGTGGCAGCCACGTCCGCCTCGTCAGCAACTTCATTACAGTCCTTGCGAGAGAGAGCCCTGAATGCATTAGGGCGTTCTTCGGGGGCGCGAAAGGGCGCTCTCGGCGAATTCAGCAGCAAAACGAGAATGCTGAGTTGGAGGGAGGATGATCACGTGTACGGAGGAGCGAGCTGACTCATAAAGCGGACGTGGCAGTAGCTTCTTATCCGTCAGGGGTCAGAGATACCCTTGGTATCCGGACAATGCCCTAACCGGACCCTAAATCCGCGCCTTTCCTGCATTTGGCGCAGTTTCTATTGTTTCAGGTTTTGGCGGTTGCTACGGCGATGCTATGAAATCGTGGTATATGCCTTGCAATGGAGGGACACATAGAGTTTAATTTCAGCGATCCGTGTAGAGATTCCACTTAGAATTGTGCTCCCCTCGTGTGAGAACAAAGGGGGGTTTCTGACAATACGTAAAAACACTGGTTTTAGGAATGATCTGGAGGGAGTTAGTTGATTATGAGCAAATCAGCTGGAAGACATAGGGAAATAATTGTAGAAACAACCCGAGTAGAAGTCAAGTCCCCTCAGTAATTGAAACACATCTCGGACGACAATACACCCAATGGGTTCAGATTGCGTAAGGTGATTAAATGGCTTGGTAATGCATGAAGCTGTAAAGCTGTAGCAAGTAGAACTAGTTTCACCCCAGTGCCCTTGTTTTTGCCCTCCAATGGGTATCTTTGATTAAGCAGCAGTTTCTGTACCTTTCGAAGTGTCGGATATACCATGCTTTTGTGTCACAAAAAGAAATATAAAGAGAAAAAAACAGAATAAAGTAAAATAAGACATTGCTGATTGGATCTTCTTGTAGCCAACAGAATGTTCTTTTGAACTTTGCCACAGTTTCCCATGAATAACTTGAGTACAATTTTCTAAATGTCAAATTGAAGAATTTATGGGATTATAATCATTATTATTATTTTAAATGTTATTCATGATTGTGAAACAGTATCAGTGCAATGTCATTGCAAATTGTTACTAGTTCAAGCCCGTTATTTTTGTTACAGTATATCACTGTTGTAGCATTAGGTCAAAATTAATATCGAAGATACATGATCCAAAAATCTACCCATGTTAGAATTTAATTACAACAATAACATATTTGGATGCATACGCTTCTGAAGTTCCACAAGATTAGAATATTAGCACGTAGCCCAATACTATCGTTCAGAGTTTATAAATATTTTTTTATTTTTTTATTTGTGTTAATCGGATTTTGAAAAAGAACTAATTAATAAGAAAATGGATTTGAGAGTCAAATCTAAATATTTGCAGTATGTATATTTTTCTATTCGTGTGTGTGCCTTTCTTCACTTGCATGACACGGATGCTTATGAAGAAAGGGCTGCATGACCGGGCCGGGCAGGGTAGGGAACCGACCCGCGCCGCCTCAACCCGTCGTGTGGTGCATCGCATCGCCCGCCAGCGACGGCTACAGACGCAGCCTTGGAGCAGGAATTGTAGCCCAAAAGCAAGGCATGCTGATTTTATAGTTGTAGCAAAGTCGCACCATGGCTCCAGACATCCCTCGGATTTTTGTCAGAGGGAGTTACCTTAACTACAGACAGTTTCCTTGCCCTCTGGCCGCGTCAGAATGGTCTCATCTTCCCTTCTCCGACGCTCAGGTTCTGTTGTTGGTGGGGGTCGCTGCCGCTCCTCCTCCTCCGTAAAATTTGTGTCGGAAGAAGGAACGAAACCATTGCCCGGAACCCCCTCCCCTCGTTTTTCTCTTTTCTCAAAATGATTTATCGTATTTTGATGCTTTCTGTGCAGCTCACTGCACTACACCATTGACCACATGGTCGGTTATCACCAGAGCTGCTCTGGTTTCGTTAGACGGTGTAAGTTTTTTTTTTTTTTTTTTTTTTTTTTTTGTACATTTTTTTGGGTTCTCGATGATCATTGTCGCCCTTCAGTCTAGATTACTAGCCTGACAACCAAGGAGTAGCTATTGATGCACTAACTGCTGAATTGTACGCCCCGAAGGCGATGCACACCAGGTGTATCATGGAAGGTAGACGACCCATTTCAGCATATTAGTAGTAAGTGTAAAAATAAAATAAATTTACCCACATGTAGAGAAATAAAAATGAGGAGGATTCCAAATGTTTTCACACAATCTGGCTCAAAAATAAAATGTATATAAATGTTTAGTTGAAGATTCTCTTTGACCCATTTTCGACATATAGGCCAACCTAAGATCAACCTAATTCTCAATTGTGGTGGGTTACAAAACTTAGAATCCAACTTTTTCAAAATCAAGAAGTGTGGCACCTAATTATACTATTATTTGATCCCAACCAATCAACAACTGCCATCTATCTATGGATAATTCATACATACTCACTTCAAGTACACTGAATTTTATTTATTGCTCATAGCTTGACATCATTTTAACCTATCTCTGATCAATGTAGATGTTAGTGGATGTCAGACCTAATGGAAATGGAACACACTATGTTGGAAATGGAGGGTGGTCGACAACGGATCGGCTACCATAAATGTAAACATAGATTACTGCGAAACTGAAATTCGGGTATTCAAAGAATAGTCAACCAAGAAAGCTACACTGACCATTTCAGATTCAGCTGCGAGGCATCAGGATGTTAGGGTTTGATGAGACCCTGAGCATGCTCTACAACTAAACTCCCATTACTCCTTTCATAGAGGATGGAAGTGTAGGCTTTAATGAGAAATTATTATCGTTGGGGGGCTTTTTGGCAACTCTGTTCTAATCGATCCGGTGCTTTTATTGCTGGGTCCCGCCTTTCGGGGTGACGCGTGGTAGGTTGGGAATGCGGGAGTGGCCTACCAATTCAAGGTTGCAGGTTTTTGGGACCTGGGAACATGCAATGCGAGTGCTGGTGTGAGACTGCGATTGTGGAGTTCAAGTTTTCTTCTGTGAGGCGGCTAGAAGCTCTCATGGTAAAGGGTCGGGTTTGACGGCTGTCATCACAACACGGCATATATTTTCTAGGAGGTGCAAGTCTTCCTCGTGTTGATATGAAGCATTGTAATGTGGTGGAGAGTGTGCACATCTTCCCTGCTGCATGGAATATAGCGCACTGGAAACCATGCAGAAGAACATGGTGAAGATTTGGTGAAGTTTCCAAAGAAATCTCTAGGTGTCCGCGTTCAGGAAATGCATGGGGAGTGACCTTCGCGTTAAAATGGCTATCCAGTGCTGGACTGGAGTCGGCTCAACATCGCCGGCTCAACGCTGGATTCGCATGCTTTCCGCCGACCATGTGGCCGCCTGACTACCTCTCGTGGATTCCCAAGTGCCAATGTTTTTTCATTTCAGAATTGCCCATGATATAGGTCTGGCCCACGCGGACAATGGTATGATACACGTGGACAACGGAGCAGTATCTGAAGTACATTCGAGAGAAAGGGGTATGCGAGAATTGGGCTTTTCAAGCAGCATCTATTACAAAGCAGCGTCAGCTGGCGGATGTGATCAATCCGAGAACTTCCTCTGGGTGTTTTTCCTCGCTTCCTCTCGACAGCTCACAGAAACGACGAAAACACAGATTATTGTCTCGAACTAGAATAACTGGAAAGTGGGTGGAGGTTCCTGCATGAAAATTTTATAACAGATATTTGACCCAATAACCTAATGAAAGGAGGAGACTGTGCATCGAGTAGGTTAAGTAAAAACTTTCATTTCTTCATTTTTGTACAAGAATGCCAACAAATGGCTGGCACTCTGGCGAAACTACGCCACAAAACCTTACAGTCCGCAACAGATGGCACCAAAGGTTGGCGAGAAAGGAGGAGAATGAAGAGCATTGAGTTGCGATACAGTTCCATTAAGGACCTGGTAGTGTGGGTGGCCATTCTTTAGCAGACTCCATCTTGGCTTTCTTCTGCTGCACAAGTCTATCCAAGATTGCTGTCTCTAGGGGCACTGGGTCTTGGCATCGCTCCGATGCTGCTGAACAAACCTATCACATCGAATACAGACATATTAAAGTAGTTAGTACATTTCAGTTGGGTATTGTATTCCGTGAATTGAACTACTTTGACATTAGTCCACGCAACGATAACTTTCTCTGCGAACAATATAAGAAACCTAGCCCATTCGCACTAAGAGTGCCACCTTGCAATTCAGATGTTGATTAGGCCGCTTACTTCATCCAACAAGATTTCAACTACTGTTCCATTCTCGACCAAATTTTGCAGCGGTTCTCTGAGATAGTGACAATCCAGTTGAATCTGCTGATAACCTCCGCGGTTGAAAGTCTGGAGTCGCACGCACTCCTCGAAAGTTTTAAGAGTCATTTTCACCACCGTCGATATCACCCACGGCTGCATAAAACCAATTTTTTTGGAAAATTAACTAAATTGAACTCTTCAAATAATGATTTCACACAATCCATCAGCAATTGTTTTCATTTTAAGTAAATCTATTAATGGAAATTGCACTGAATCGACCAAAAAAAGTCAGGTGCATAGGATCTTGGAGGACTAACCTGATTGTATTCAAGTTTTGTGAAAATTTCAACTTTCTCTGTAAACAGTCTCGCCACATCCCTTTCTAACAACTGGCTCCGAGCATTGGAGCGACTGGAGGCGACACGATGACCATCTTCTCTTATAGAAGCACTTCGAGTTGACCCTATGCTGCCGGAGCTATCAGAATGCCGGTGCGTGCGGCGAGGTCCTGGAGGAAGTAATTGCTTTACCTCTATTTGAATCCGCTCTACCTACAACCAACAGGAAAAAAAAAACAAAAAAATGATTGGATTCATACACACTGAAAGCCCACCGAACATATCCTCAGTATTCTCGTAATGTAAGTAAATCGATTCATCACATATTACAAACACACGCAAATAGTGCTCCGAGAAACTATGATGGTATTAAAAGAGAGGTACACGTCGCACCTCTTGCAAGAGTAAGTCTGCAAACATACGGACATCCCTTGGCTCTTTATACTGCAAGACCCACACACAAAACATTAGTTTCTTAAGTTTTCTGAAGTGGAAGGATCTCTACAGAAACACTGACAAAAAATAACCAACAGATGGAGTGCTAAGAATGAAACTTCCAAAAAGATATTCGTCAAATAATCTGATGACATACCTTCAGCCAATTGGGGGTATCCACAGCCTTCCGAACTATGAGGGACAACTTGCGAGCTTGTATATCGACATACTGTCACCAAAGCGAACCAGATTACATAAGTATCCAGTTCTCAAAGATTAAAAAAGGGAAATCTCTCTAACTGTATCCACAGACAAATCAGATAACATTAAGCCCGGGAATCACTACGTAAAGTGGGCGCAGCCCTTTCCTTGCATAGTGGTACCACTGTGCCCAAAATCTTATAGCCCATACACATTCTTCGGTGCATAGGTCTTGATCACCATTAGTTCGGGGTTGGGCACTGCTTGTACCCAAGAGCCTCATGGTCCCAGAGGGTTCCTTCCGGTTTAAGGTCTGTATTTATCTAGTAAAACTTTGTGGATAAGAAAAAAAAGGAACCTGTTGAAGAAGTCTCTCTCCAGTAGTATGAAAAAAACGACAAATCTCTGAAGGAACGAAAGCTGGACGTCCATCAGATCCCATAGCACCCCCGCCAGGAAACCAAGTCCCCAATGTCTGCAAAGAGTACCCAGACATGATACTTGTTACAGTCAAACACAAACATTATGTACTTCAAACGAGACACATCACTGATTCTGTATTTTCAGAGCCAAAACTTGCCATGCTTCTACAGGATTCGAAGTAATCGCATCGTGCAGTACGGAGGAGAAGTCGCGAAATAGTGAATATGCTAACCTCAGTAATTTGTGGAACGGCAGTTTGGTAGAGGTATACTGAAAGAAGGGACGCCAAAATAATCAAGCTTGGAGTCACAGTCTGTAGAGATTGTGACTTGTCTGATGATGACGGAGTCTCAACAGATCGGACACATAGAAAAAGAAAATGATCGACAAGATTGGTGAAAAGCTCCTGAAAACCTCCTTGAACAAGATCCGTATATTCATCTGCCCAACGAAGTAAATATAATTTTCTGTCATCCAAAAGCTCCTTAAGGTCCTGTAAAATGTGCACGATACACGATTAACAAAAATAGGACACAAGTAGAGGTTCAGAGAATGAAAACTAAAGCTTAGAGACACCTTTCTTATTACACATAGATATGATTGTGAAAAGAATAAGTGCACAGCACGTATGACAGTCTACAGTCGAACCGATTCGTAGATAGAAGTGCTTGTTTCCCAAAGGTTGCACTTCATATAGACTTTACGCATTTCAATACATGGTAAGTAGAGAAAGAACCCAAACCTGCAAGACTTCAAGACTGCTGTTTGAGATTGTCTTCTGTGCGATGTCTAGGAAATACTGGAGGGTCTTCGGAGACTCCTTGGAATCAGGTGTTTTTGATGTATCAGCCACGGTCAGAGAAGCTACAATCACAACCAGAATACTACATTATCGGTAATCCCAGTGAAGATTGAAGACAGGATAGTACTTTCCAAATCATGCTGTAAATAACCACTTGGGTAGATAATCGGACCCAACTAACATACCCCACATTCCAGAATCATATGATAATAGTTGCAAGACCGTTATTTAGCATGTATGAACATTAACGCCTCATCAAGAATTGGGCATATGCATCTCATGTCTGAGGTACAGAAAGCTAAGTATCTGGAGCCGACAGAGCTGCAGCACTACTCAAATGGTAAAATGCCTACTCCAAATTTTTGAAAGCAATGTACAATGGCACACCAAAATCTTGCTGCTAACAAGCATCGAGGAGCCATACCTTTCATGCGACTGTAAAGGTTCTGAAACTGATCTTTCACGTGTTTTCGCACAGCACTTTCCACTGCCTAACAGTTGGACAAGCATGGGTAAGTAACCTGGTATTCCAAAAGAGGTGAAGGATGAAAAAAGAAAATGCTGTTAACACAGAAGTACACTGGTAACTTGCAAGACATGAAAGTTACGTTGTAGCTGACTTAGGAGTACCTCAGAAGCACGTGCTGGAAGATTTGCCTCTGGCACCAACTCATTCATCCTCGATACGTCCATTGATAGTTGCCCTGTATGCACGAAAGAGGCAAAATACGGTAGAAATAAGGATATCGAGCACCCCTGCATAGTGAAAAGATGAATTTTGGAATGTCTTTCAATCAACTGACACATGTGCAGACTCTGCAGACGTACTAAAGACAAGAGAAGGAAACTAAACAAAAAATTGACGCTTACGGAATGAAGCATTCAGCTCTGCAGCCGACATATTTCCACTCGGAGGCTGAAGTGTAAGCTGAACAGTCTCGAAGTAACTACATTAAGTCACCCGAAAGATAATATTAATAGTCAAAATTGTGGATGCTGCTGAAACTGATCAACTGAGCACCTAACACAAGGAACTTGAAAGTACATGAGGTAATCACAAAACACAAGGATTTTCCTAATAAGACGAAAGTATATAAACACTGAGGAAAGATAGGTTAATACAAATAAAAAAGATATAAGAAGAGATCACTGAAGATTTCATGGTCATACTCATCAAAGAATTCATGGCAAGCCTGCAAAAGACGCTTTTCACCCTTCGGAAATAATTCCCGGAATGTGACTGCTTTCTCTAAGAACTCTTGGATGAAATCCTGTTACAGATTAAGGACTTGTTAATCAAGGAAGTACGGACTTGCAATTAATTAAGATTATTTAATTAGAACTTGCAAAAAGTACTTACTGTAGTGCTAGTTCTAAGCTTAAACCATTAAGAACTGAAATGAAAATTTGAAATGAAGGGTAGTGTACCTTTTCTTCTTCGTTGAGCAAATCCTTTCGTGAACCAAAAGTGTCAAGTGCCTTAAGGCCTTGTTGAGAAGCAAGCCGTTTATTTAAGTCCAACTTCACTGTCACCTCGTCTTCCCCATGAAATGATAGAAAAGTGTCCATCATTGTGTCCACCTAAAACCATCATTGACGAACTGTGTATGTGAGCAGTTTTCCTTGCCTTGAGAACATCACACAGCCTATAATCTTGAATGAGCATACCACTCTATCGTATATCTATGAACAAATATAGAACAGTTATATGACAACTAGTGCAACTGAGAAAAGGTGGACTACCGAAACCAAAGTTAGTGAGTTTCACATCATGCAATGCAGAGGAAGACAAGGGTCATACTGGATAGTTGAGTTGCTGGAGAAGTGAAACTGCTTGAGCTCGTGCTGAAAGCGGTGCTGAACTATCCATCACCTGAGCCTGAGGAAAAAGGTTTCAGTATTTCTCACCAACAGCTCAGGATATCACTCAATGATAAAGAACGAAGGACAATAATAATAATAATAATAATAATAATTCAAAGCAAATGAATACCTTTCTCAAAGGCTTGGATCAAAGAATCCCAGACACTTTCACTTCTTACAACTAAGCTTGACAAAAGTTGTAAAATTAAAGTTTTACAATTTCAAAATTAAAAAGAGAGGTAGAAATCGCACGAACTTGTAGACGTTTGATAAGATTGCTAATAATTGCGTCCGATTCTTCCTTGCACGTCCGAAAGGATGTTTGGCCATATGCCTATACTTGCCACAAATTACAAAACTATATCAAGCAACTATATAGTAACATGAAAGATCTACCAAAGCAAGCAGATCATAGAACAGAAAGTTCAACTCAAACCTAATTTTCAGCAACAACAGTATGAAGCTAATGCTTCTAGAGTATTAGAGAAACTACCTTTAGGATGGGAAGAGCACCTTGATAGTACTTCACAGCTGCAGCATAGTTTTCAGCACTCATGCACTTGCGAAGACGCTGGGGTAAATCAAAAATGAACTGCACATTCAAGACACACATCGCTTCAACAGAAGTTCTGCAGCAACACTTTGCTCGATCATGTGATTCTCTTCGAAGAAAGGAATTATTTCAAACGTAAACAGAAAAGCTTCACAGAAATGAAATTGCAGCTCATCAAGTGAATTCATCTGCAAAGGAATAGCTAGAGAACCAAGTGCTTATATTGAGTTTAAAATCCCGTGTCGACAAACTAGAACATGCTAATCTTTACTCCACATGAAGGAAAATGCACCCACTTGGACTTTCCGAAGGAGACTTCGAGTACCGTTGAGCTCCTCGATCCGTTCACGACGTTCACACAAGGAGGCATTGACGCCATCACTTTTCCCCCTAATGACGGTAACCTGCCCACTAAGAGAGTGTTAGAGCTGGCATCTTCAACGACCACTGCGAATAAATACACTAAATGCATCACACCTGAAAATTCTCATCCATGCAGTACAAAACCACGTAATCTTTAGGTTCCAGGACAAGCATGGCGTCATGATCTCATACAATGGAAACACAACGTACAAAATATTTAAGGGTTCTCTGATCCCGATATCATTTAAATTGTTTTAACCACCGTGAAAGACCACGATATCAGAGGAGCCATAAAGTATGTTGATTCGATATCAGGAGTTCAAATTCTGGCCAGAAACTAACTTGTCTTCGACCACTAGATGATAGCTAACTATTCAGAAGAGCGATCAATCGAATTGTAAGAATGGACGGAAGGTGGCTGATGTTTTACCGTATTAAGAAGTTGATCCATATTGGATTCCATGCCAGATACATTTTCCTTCATGCTGCATCAACAGACAAGCACCTCGTCAACAACTCTGAAAGCAAAATATATGGCTAAGTTAGAAGAACAAGAGGCGATGCTTGCGGAGGGGCGAACATTAACTCCTAAAAGTACTTTGAACCACTACAAATTATCCCAAGCATGAAAAAAACACCTACCGTCGAATTGTATCAGTTGCACTTATAAATTTGTTGTAGTTTTCATACACCAGCATTTGCATATCACTATCCAGATTTTTTATCTCGGCAGCCATTTCCACGTGCCGTTGCAGCAAGCGATCTAGAGGTGACTTGCGAAGCTGTGTATGCAAATTTAATGCAGGATTGGGTTTTAGGATGCAAGCCAAGGGAAAGGAAGAAGAGAATGACGTGATTCAAATGATGGCATTATGTCACTGACGGACACAATTAGGACCATGAATAGCATTCCTTTTCACTGGTCGATGTTCCAAAGTGGTTTTGAGAAGAGGCCAGTGCTGAGAACTTTACTGAATTCTACAACTCTAGAGGAACCCTCTTAAAGATCTTCGAAATGCTGATCAGCATCATTTGACAGGCAGCTCCCGTATTCAAACAAATGCACTTATCCAGGAATGGAAATAAAATGCATGGAGTGAAGCTAACCCCAGAACTCACCAGGGATGAAATGTAGTGATCGGAATCAAAATTGGGAAGATTGATTCCCTGCAAAGTGTCCCGACGCCCCAGGCGGGACTCGGATTCGGGTGAGCCGGAGCCATAAAAGCTGCTAAGAAGCTCCCGCAATCGCTTGGATTTTTCGTCCTGCTCCTTCGTAGCCATCTCCACCACTATACTCTGTCTTCGGTGCTACTTCACTCCGCCTTTAACACCAACCAACCATGAGATCCCTACTGATCCCGATTTCAGAATGTACGTCAGGAGACCAACCAACTGGTCCCCAATGTGCTTCCACTCTAAATCAACAAACCAAACAATCCCCTGAAAGAAGTCAAAATACGCAGCTCCTCCAAGCCCAATAACCCAATAACAAATCTTCCACTAAATGGGCCCAACATCCACTGCCAAATCCTTAAGATCCCGACACGCTAGAAGGTATACGATAATGCTGCACGCTTTTCCCGATCCCAAGACTGCCACACATTTCTTCGCGGCTCCACCTCCAGCTGCAATGAACCCTCCTTCTTCCCCTAGCTAGAAACTCAAATCCTCAAAATTCCTCCAAAAATGCTGCAAAATCCGCAAGAAAAAAATGAAAAAAAAATCACAAATACCTAGGCGACAGAGGATAGAATATGTGCAGATGAGGATGGCGCGATGAGCAGGCGAGCTAGGAAGGCTAAGCTTCCTTCAATCAGGGTATTGTCGCGACGAGCTTGAAGTCGCTCTACAGAAAACAAAACACACACACGCTCTTCGGAAGAAGGGACGACCCCAGCGCGATGCATGAATGAATGATAAATAAAGGGGCCTCTGTAGGATGTATTTCATCTTTGTGGACGAATGCGACTTCGTTGACAGAGCCCACATTCACCATCCGACATTGCGTTCATCTATTTGAAGCAACTTCCACGAGGTTTCTTTGCCGATTTCGGGTCAGAGGGCATGTCAGGAAATTATTTTGGAATTATTGATGCTTTGTTTATTTTAAGAATCCGGGCAGTCTGTTGATTATGAGTGTATATATTTTTGTTGATAAGTGGTGCTATCAATTGGAACAGTATGAAGCAACCAACAATTGCATTATCTACCACCAAAGCAGAGTATACAGCAGTTACTCATGTAACTAAGAAAGTAGTTCGGCTTTATAAATTATTCAAAGACATTGGATTTTCAAAAGATGGTCATATGAGTAGTTTTAGTGATAAATAGAGATGCATTTGTGTTTCAAGAAATCCTACGTTTCATGCTTGCACTAAGCATGTGAAAATTCAACATTAGCATATTAAAAGAGTATTTAGATACATATATAACTCCTATTAGACATTATATATTTGACTAGTATATGGATAGTTGACATCAAGTTATGACCAATTGACAACATAAAACCGCCATATGGAAATATATAGCTTAATAAGCCAATTATCCCTAAATCTAATGAACTTTAGTGGTAAGTTGTTATTAGGGTGTAATGCCAAAAAAGTCCTTGTCATTAGATTACAAACTTGTGTTATAAGAATCATGATTAGTTTTCTTGAATCTTCTTTGATTTACAAATAAATTTATTTTATATTTGCATCAGTAAGCTTCTATCTTAGCAATATATATATATATATATATATATATATAAAAAAAAAATTCTCACAATTGATTATATTAAACATAATATTATCAATTATTTCTTTTAATATATTGATGTTATTAATGACCATTTTCCTAGTATTATTTTTATTTTTATTTTTAGTTCTTATTATTTATAACAATGATTTTTTACAAATCATAAAATGAAGTCTTTATAAATATCCTTATAACATTCCAATCTTAAACCATTGAGATTTTTTTAGATTGAAGTTGAAGATGCAATTTTCTAATGTCTTAGTTTTTAACTACAGAAACAACAAGACCATCTTCAGGTATGCATCTTCTAATATAGATAAAAGTGTATTCGATCATGATTGTTGATGTGCATATTTTTATTAGCAACTAACAAGATGAGATAATATTCTTGTGCTATTTTTTCTATATCCAAAGTATATTGAGCCAAAGTAAAACTTTTATGTCTTTGAAACATTAAATTGGTTAGAAAAAAGAAAGATTTTGTAGATGTTAAAGTTATGAGGATAAGAGAAGAAAAGAAAAAAATCTTAAAATTATGAATAAGTTGATGTATAAAATCAAATTCCTATGTACATGATATTTTTTTATAGTATCTTTATTATTAAGAATGTGAATCTAAAAACTTTAAAATAAACATATATATATATATATATATATATATATACTTTCATGCTTCTATGGCTATTTCTTAAAGACATAATTTTTAAGAGAAGTTTTTATAAAACATGTGGCATATTTAAACAAATTTGTATAAAGTTTTTATAATACATTTAATATATGTTTAGTAAGCTTTCTTAATATTTTTTGAAAAAAATATTATCAACTTATTATGTTTTTACATATTTTTTCTTTTCTTTATTTATATCAATTTATTATAAAATATAAGCATCTTTTATATTAAATATGTTGATATTGTGGATATTATTTAATTAGATGAAACATTATTATTGCTTTACAAGACATTTTGTCAAAACCACTAAAGAATTTTAGACATACTTTGATAAAAATTAGATTCCAAAGCTTGGTGTATGGATGATGTGTAAGAGGATCATCTTACATGTTGGACAAGATATTTCAACCACCATTAGGTTTTTCTATAGCAATCTTAAAACAGTGTTGAGTAGATTTGAGGAATGTTTAAAAAATAAATATAAAATAAATCATCTCATTTATTGATTGAATGAAAATATAATTAATTAACACAAATGTTTTAACTTCCACAAGTGACAAGGATTTGTAATAAATATAAAAGGCTTGAGTGCTAATAATGAGCTTCTTAGTCTAAGTCTAGAAAATTCTTAATAACCTTGTATATGTACTAACATCTTCCAAGGACCTTATTTATGTCCAATTTGTGAAAAGATTGTGTATAAACCATTTATCTAGTAGACTATGCACCTAATAGTTTGTTTCATTTGTATAAAGAGAAATTTTTAGAAGCATCAAGTTAAAGTTCTATGCATATCTAGAAAAATCTCACTGAACAAAAATAATCAAGTATCTTGGAATGCTACAAAAAAAACTACTACAGATAACATAAAACATATATAACCTTCTTGTAAACAACATTATTTAATGTATGATAATAAAGATAATCAATTGAGATTTAAAATTCACAATGTGCAAAATCCCCATATGTTTGTGAAATTCTCATATTCTTAACCCCCTGGGTTGATGCTTGGATTTACTCAAATACTATCACCTAAACTTGAACACTTCAATGATTGATGCTTGTCTCTATCTGCTTGACAAGCACTAATGGGTTGAAGCAATAAAAGTCAATTGCTCTAGAGCAAGAAGCTTTGAAGATTTCTTATAAGAAACAGCTCCTTTTGACTACTTAAGAGCCAGTAGTTGCTGGCCCGCTGAAAGTTCAATTTAGAAACACCAGACAACCTGAAAAGTTGCCGAATCCTCTACAATGAATTATCGATTACTGATTGTACCGAGTTGAATCAAGTTAGTAGAAATAACAAATCAATGTCTATGCGTATGAGGGTGCCGTCTCTTTCCGAACACATCTGCTTTTAGTCCTCCAGCTTGTGTATCCTTAAATCTAAGGACTGCGGTTACTGCACCAATTAAAGCAAGTGCATAGAATGCCTTGTACGGAGCCATTGCTAATCCAGCATAGTAACAATACAAGCCGAAGATGCCATAAATGAAACTGAAACCAGCTTCAGGAGTACTTGAGCCAAACACAGATGATAGTGGGACGAAAGTAATGTTGGGGTCTAAAGTGCTGAAATACAGCCCGTGTAGCACAATACCAAAGCATAGAAGTAAATCAAGAAGTGAGGGTGGAGTTCGATCCAATCCAGATATCTGCAAAAATGCCAAACAAAGAAGTCAATGTCATTATGGTGAAAGAAAATTTAATATTATCAATCCTGCAAGCCAATAAAGGTATAGAGCTGGAATGATAAACTCCATATCTATTCTAAAGCAAATGTTAACACATACGATTCAAAACATCAAATGAAAATTGTATATTGATACTTTCAATGGAATTCGAGACGTTATGTGTAGAAGAATATGGGGAAAACCTGGACCCATGCAGCCAGGGAAGGGCCAAGCATAATAGCGGTTACGAGATGTAGCAGTAAAAGTCCTTGACGGTATCGATAAGTCTCCAGATGATTATCTCCGTCAATAAAGACGGCAGGATTACTCGACTCATCACCCGAGTCTTCCTTTTTCGCATTCCACAAAAGAGTCTTGTGTAGCCGGTGGCTGCATGCATTAAAGACAAAATTAAAATTTTAAATTTACACGTGTGTCATTTATTCTGAACTGAAAGAAAAGGAACTTCGAGGAACCTCAGTGCATCAAGTGTGATCATGCTTGCGGCTGCAGTAACATTGATAGAGGAACAAACACACTCAGGAAAATCAAGCTACGAAGGAGGTGACTTGAATTGTTACCTGCAAAGAGCAGTTTGGCAGTTCCAAGCATGGACCAACAATAACACGATGAGACCTACGCTAGGATGAACGAAAACAAGAAGCACAGAAATTCCGGCAACCAGAGCTAGTAATGGTCTTTCTCTCAGCTTCTTAATCACCTGCTCACAAGAAAACTAACAGTCAAATATTGGTACTTAACAGCAACCTACAACTTAAAAGCTTCTATCCTGCACAAACGTAAGAAAGGATATACATAACTGCAAGAACAAATATAAGAGAATCATAAGAGACCAATAAATACTGTAAAGTGTTTGTGCAAATATTCATCATATACACTAGCAGATGCGAGTTGCACAAAATTATCCTTGGAGTTAGATACCAGTGAGCATCCGCGCAATTGAGCTGGCTCTCGAGCTCTAGGCCGACCCTCATATGCCTGAAACCTGCGAGTACAAATTGCTGTTTTCTGATTAGATTTAACAAGTGTAAGATACAGAGGGTTATGTGTTGCTTCTAAATGATATACAGTGAGTGACGTTCCTTACAAGTCTAGAAGTATTTTAATTGAAATCCACGTTATTTGTATTGATGCATTGAAAAAATAAAATAAAATAAAATAAAAATCAAGAATAAAAAAATCAAGATAATCTTTTATTGAAGGAACTATTGCGGTTAGATCAAATTCAGGAATAAGAAGTGGCAAAAACAAGCATGATTAAAAACACAATAGTAATGGTGAAGAATACATAGAGCTATTTAACTCACCTTAGCTTGAAGAAGACTTGGATAAAAGATGCAATCTGGAATACAATGCTGCTGACGATTGCAAGCGCAGCAACAACACCGTTTGCAAAGATGTAAGACACAAAAGAGACACCCAGGAAACTAATCAAAGATGGAGGAGTCTCTGTTCCAAATGTAGAAAGTAAGTGGTAAATAACCGAGAGCCCAGGTGCCAAAAAAATTAGTGGAAATGGAGAGCGTAGGTTTGCTTCAATGCATGAAACAACTGATGGAACCATGACGTCCCGTTCAGAAGCTCGTGCTTGACGCATGAGGGCAAATAGAATCACTGCCACAGTCAAACCGGTGATCTGCACAACTTACAGAAAATTACTTTTTCTTCTGACGATTACGTTCGGACAAAACACGCACTTAATTACAAAAATCAAATCAAATCTGTTATCAATTGTGAAAAAGGTGTCAGAGTTCAAGTGGTGAACAATCACACAGAGCTAGAGAAAGAACTGTCATAAATGGATCGAATTTCCGTTAAACCCTTGGTGAACTAAAATGTATAACGAACTGTGTAGAGATAACCCAGTTGGTTTAGGGCTTAGAGTTTAAAAGCTCATCACAAGTCGCACCATTTGCATGAAGTAGAGTAAGCACCTGTAGTCCATACACGAGAACAAAGCGACTAGAAGCTGTTGATAACGACACCTCAACGCTTGCTCTATATGAACAGTGCGGGTCAACCTGTAAGCGAGCACATATTTCACAATAAGCATAGTAACATGTGAACAAGACATCTCTACAATAATGTATACAATACGCAGATTTTAAAGAAACAGTAAAAAAATGAGCACACAGAGGCACGCACGGGCACACGCAGTCCTACACAAAAGATACTGTAGTCTGCTACAAGACTTCGACATCGTACGATAATAAAGTTGAACAAACTTCTTAAAGGGCCATTCCAATTGTCTTCGAAAACAAGGACCACTAAGTACAAAACGTCCCGCCCTTTAAGCGATACTTGAAAATGAACATACCAAGAGAACTATTGTTGTGTGCTCAGAGCCGTAACTTGTTCCCCAAATTCCAGGCGCAGAATCTACCACTACGATTTCAGAATCCAGATTTGGAAGGACTTCCAAGCCGAAAGGAGGGTCCCAAACAAGAGCAACTGGAGGAAAGCATCGACCTCTGCAAAGTTCTGCATTCCAAAACGAAGGGTAATTAGTTACTCAAGTTCCAGCGCATATCACATCAGATGGTGGTGGAAATAAAGATGGATGTGGGTGCACTAGAAATTTAACAAAATACAGAAGTAGATCTAATACTCCATCATAATAACGGAAAGAATTAGCACAAGGAAAAAGACGACAGAGTGGGAAAACTTGGGAATAAGAAAGACATGTTGACTATTTATAACTTAGTCCAGCGACATTACCAGAAAAGGTGGTCATATCAAAATCTTTAGTCCCAAAAAATTCAAATTCAGCAGGGTATAACTTCGTAGTTCTAAAAATCCAGAGAGTATTAACCAGAAAATAAGGCAAAAGAGCTTACTGAGCAGTTCTTCAGGGCCTGGATTGTCCTTAGCAAGTACTGTTGCCTGAATGCCACAACTTAGAGTCTTGACAGTCAAATTTACTGGCAAAGTTCCGGCCGACACAGCGATGGACAAATTCCAGAACATTGCATGACCCTCCTCAAGTAAAACCTCCTGCACGAAAAATTGGTATGTAGTATCAACATAACAAACCCAAGTTTCTAGAAAATGTGATTCACAGTGCATGTTAGAGAAGCTTTCACACAATCAGTAAATCTACTACGAACAGAAGCACCCAAACTATCACAAGAATAGTAAGAAACTTGAGGACAAAAACATGAGGAGGACTTTCACAGACTACCTGCTTTTTATAAATCGTGGATATTAAATCCAAGGGTGACATAGCCATCTTTCCCTTCTTGGGGTTAAAAAACTGCCCTACAGCCATAGTTGCTGTAGGTGGAGGTGTTCCTCGAACACTCTGAAAATAAAACGCGCCCAAGTCATGGGTCAAATACTACTAATAATAGTAATAATGATAACCCATTTCGTGTAGGATATAGCTTTCTCTACTTCAAAGCACACCAGGTTCAGGTAGCTCACAAAAATTACAAATTACGTATTATATTTAGTTATTTGTCATCCCTCAGATTGACTTCCTAACAAACAGAAGTGCAAGCACAACCCTAGATCGTATTTCAACCTTCGCTTATCATATAGCATCTGTAAGTTTCTTGAACTAAGAACCACGATTGACTTTCAAAGTTCACCTGGAATAGTTCACAAGAGTTGACCTAATGGATGCATAAGCTAAGGGCATGGCATCTATCTCGAGAATCCTCCTATTATCTAACTGCCATGAAATAGAAGGAACGATCAACGCATAGTTGGTCTTACCGGTCGTGGAGCTACAGAAACTGTCAAAAACTGGAAGCCATGTAAATCGCTGGGTCTAAAGCGTAAAACTCCTGAGGGAGGAGCTTGCTCCGTCTGTCCTCCCGGCTCAGTCTATGTTGCAACAACAAAAGATAAGCAGTACGAAATAATAGTGGAACTGAAGGTTGATAACTATGAGTGATATAATATCAATTGACGTCATTACGATTTATTTCTTATAAAGCGTGTAGAAATCGGCTTTAAAGTTCGATCCAAAAGTCTTCGTGATTAAAAGCATCAGAACAATCATTTTGGTAGCCAAGTCATACTCCACAGAAGCATTGAAGTTGAAAGTATACGTTCTTCAGCGTAAAAAAGACATTATCATCTGTGAGGCACAGTTATTATAATGTCCCTCAGAGTACCGAACTATCAAGGATGTTAATGTAACAACGGCAAACCGTCAATCTCTTCGTTGGTTCACCAGTTCCAAGCTGATATGTAATTAACTAATGCACAGTAATTACACAGAATACTGACCATCACTACCTGTCCATTCAAATATTAGTAGACTACTACTTTATGGAAACTTATAGACATCTTGTGAGAAAGAAAATGATAAGAGAGAAGACCTGGCGTTGAATGGGACCTGTTGGAATTTCAGTCATCTTCGTACTCATTTCCACTGCTTTCTCAAAATCAAGAAAACCACCAGGTTTGGCACTACCAGGCCATAAATGTACACGTACACCCACACATGGTGCCAAGTTTGTTGCTAAAATAAACCAATCACCATCCTTAGCCTAACATCAAGCCATCAGCATTGAACCAACTGTTAAACACTCCACAAGTACAGAAGAAGAGAGACTGTCTTCTATTTCAGTTCTACAGTAAAACTAATTGGTAGAAACCAACTACAAATATGCCATAGTAACCATACATCAATAAACAAAATTTGTTCAAAATTAAGTATGTGCAAGCAGCTGTTCATCCATCGCTACAACACGTTCAAAACAAGATGCATCACACCATGGTTTGAGGTCTTACGAATCTTTCGATGTCCATAACTCTTCGTCTACCATCCATTGCCAGCACAGTCATGATGTTCGACTTAATATAGAGATCTGACTGAGGCACTTCCTTCAGCCAAAAAACATGAGATGGGCATGCAAATAGATCCTGGATTGGCGTGCCTCGATGTTTCTCTGCAGTCATCTTTTTGTTACTTGATATTGACTCATCCACTTCGATTTCCCCTTTGTCTCTACCAAAAGCTTGATCCTCTGCAAAATCAACGTATTAGCACCATCTCTGCAACCAAGAACTTCATGGAGTTGCATAGCATTCACATTTGTCACTGTTCAACTTTTGACCTTGCAGGTGAAACGTTTCAGACTTGCGATACGGAATCTATACCTTCATAAAGACTGCTGTAAACGCAAGATTATAAAAAGTATGTGGGTGTGGAACTAAACGAGAAAAATACAACACACCTCTTCCGGTACGGGTTGCTCTAAGAAAAGTTAACGGAATCCTTGAATCGATGCTGGGTAACCAACCAAAAGAAGAAGGTAATGCACTACGCAAGTTAGTCACAAAGACGGCCATTCTTTCATGTGGGTTTATCATCAGCTGCCCTGTTTTCTTATCTATCAGCTGCAGCAGTGTGTGCGAGACCTGTAGAGCAATGGAGTTTGAATAAGAGGCGGCCATACAGCTGAAATGCTCATCCAAATTCTACAAATGGCAGTTCTCATATGCAAACGTCTATTACAACAGCCCAGTAAGAAAGTATTGAAGTCATGCTCTACAAATGATTATAACCCTTGCCCACCTGCATAGCCACTTGATTACACCATAAAATGCTTTGGTGTTCTGTAGAGAGAAATACGTTCACCATGCTTGTTGTACCAATAGTTAAACCATTAGTAGGAGGTACGATTCCATCCAAAGAAGCCATTCTTGACCGTACCTGTTTTGCAGCAACACGTCCACCATCAGAACGAATAAAACTATCGTGAGACTAGGTTAACAACGAAAGCCCAAAGATCAGACAATTCAGATAGTGAAAGAAAACAACTGAAAAGAAAATCACACATTAATAAAGTTTTGCATACTACTACTACCATGGCCCAGCAGCAAGTACACCGAAAGAAAACCACCCAAAAGCATTTATTTTTCAGATGATCTCAGCACACACCTGATAATCTCGCGAACCTCCAGCTATCGACACGACTACAACATCTGATAAAGTGGGCCTCGACCAATGACCTCCATTTGACACACTACCCTTAAAACCTTGTATCCAAGCATCATTAACTTTCGAAAAGAAGCGTCCAAACGAAGGCTGAACTTCCAGGGGAGGTGATCTGCGAGCATAAGACAGCCAAATGGGAGCAAAATGAATATCAGGGCCAAAAACCAGTCCAAAAAAGGGAAAACTGAGATCATTAAAAATGTCGGAAAACATGAGCAGAACTAAACATATCGCACTAAACTAAGCGCTGTATGAGCTGAAATAATAAACTTGAACTCAGCCCTAGTATACATTTTCAACCATTACGTTGAGAGTCTGAAAACTTAAAACACCACGTGAAATACTCAATAATCTATATGCTGACGCTCAAACTCAGAGCACATATACTACTTCCAAATTTTATATGTGAGTACGGCACATAACTAAAAGCCCCAGCGCACATGATAGATGAAAATGGAACTTGTGGATGCGCATTCGATTCTTCCAAACATGACAACATACCTGTGGGGACTCGACAGAGTGAGAACAGTTCGAACACTTCCAGGTCGGATATCTCGATGGACCACTGCGGCCCTTGCTACAAAGCCACCCATAGAGTGCCCAACCAAGATGACATTTGTGGGCGAAATCTCCCCCTTGTCATCATTATGCTTGGACCTCATTTCCAAAGACTCTCTATACCTATCAAGAATCTGTTTTCAAAAGAAGAAGATAAGAACGTATAAGATTGCAGACAAACTACGACCGACGAGTCGTCTATGTGATAAGAGGATGGTTTGTTTTAACTAGCTCTCTTCTGATGAGCAGGACCTTACGAATCCCTCGCAAAGCCTCATGAGACAGCTCCTTGATCAATTTGACGGAATTTAGAACTTTGAAATTTAAGTTCAGATAGTCTAGTACGAAAATTGAACTATCAGATGCAGGTTTCAAAAAATTCGAGAAATGTTTGTGTCTCGATGGTTGAAGTGAAGACTCATACCCGGTGAACAGCTTGCACAACATACTCGGAATGCTCTTCAAGGATCCACCCGTCCATAGCTGAGTGTTCCCCCTCCAAATCGACGGTGAACCAATCCAGGTGATTTGCATACCGACCATCCGGTTTGGATCTACCCAAGAGCTCTGAAAAACTCGAAAAATCTTCCACTGATTCAGCTTCAAGAGGCGTGAAGGACGACTGATGATAATACTGAGCGTCCAGTGGACCCCCATTGTATGCCCTATCTGATTCTGCTGCTATGGATCGCACCTGAACACAATGAAAAAAGGATCGTAGTTTATGTGCAACGAATTCGCTATTAGGCCTTAGAATTCACACTGTCAGACAATCTAGGTGATTCGGTCCATTAGCACAAAAACTGCGTCGTTTATCTCAGGTTTTCCCAACAAACTAAAGAGTAAAATCTGCGTCTTTCATCAATGAATTCTCCCAAATTGGAGACACAGTGATCCAGTCCGCTGCAACTGGTACAAGGATCTCGTAATAATAGCTACACGAAGCTGTCATCTGAAATAGCAATTCCATACCTACGATAACAATTTTCTGTGCTTTTCTAGCTTGTGAGAATGTGAAGAAATGATTAATACAATCAAGAATGACCATCGACACATAATAATCTTATAAGCCATGCTCAACTGCTCGACCAATTTCTCTGCCAATTAGAGCTGGCTCTTGACAATAGATTCGAATCAAAGTTACAACCATCATAAGATTGAACCACTTCTGCTTGCGAACCAACTTGAGTTGCATCGAGAGTTCGGACATTCTAAAGATTTGATAACTGGACAATCGTCGAATACCAGAAGCTTAATCCAAAGACTATCTGAAAACTCACTTGCTTGTAAGAACCACCATTGCCAGGGATGAAAAGAACTGGAACACCCGACAATTTGACAAGGTGGAGCTGATGATCAATTTTCTTCCAGCCTTCGTGATAAAGATATAGAGAATATTTGCCGCCTGTGGCATTATTCGGCAGCGGGACAGGAATGTACGTGGGGTACATGTAAGTCATGATACATCCTTTGGCATAAGGTTTGTGAAAACCTAACAACCCTGCTGCTGTTATGGATGCTGCAATAAGGATTGCGATGAAGATCCTGTACTTGCACCATCTCACTTTGGAAGTCCCCATCCACCTCTCTGAAGTCTTGTCCTCTGCTCCTTTTTTATCAAACTCAAACCTCAATTTCCCATCCGCACATTCGACAAATTGTTCAAGCCCAGTGAATGGGAAATCCTTGAGACCCCCTACACTACTTCCCCTACCCCCCGAAAAAAGAGTGCTTCAAATGCCTCGCGGCAAATATTTCACAACTCTGGCGACAGTCGAAATTTCCTTCACTCTTCTCACATTACTACAGCCCACGACCTTGAACGAAACTCCACGCTAGATACAGCTGCAAGTGCCTCCCCAAAACGATACAATCAGCTCCTCAATGCCTGACCCAGAAAAGTTTGAAGGTTGAACAGACCATTAAATCCTCCCACAGATCCAGCAAACCAGCTTCCCGCTCACCAACTTGCTGTCGTAACTCCTTCCAAACGCTTCGACGAATCCTGTGCTAGATCTGTCCCTCCAACACCTCCAACGTCGAACTCTTCAGCTCCACCAGGCTCAGATCTCCCACAGAAATACAAAACGCAAACAGCGTCGGTCTTGAGATACAAGCAACAATCAACAGTCAATCATCCGGCGGAAGCGAAGAAATAAACGAACATAACCAGTCCAGCCCGCCATCAATCAACGTCAAGGCCACAAGGGAGCTTTCGTTCCACTTCAACAACGGGAATTCCGCGAACAGGAAAGCCCCAGCCCGGGCACCTCTGCTTCTTTTCTTTCTCGCTTTGCTTTGCTTCTACTTCGCCAATTCTATCTCCACCCAAAACGACTGGCATTTTCCTTCACAGGAAAGAAAACCCACCACCAGCACACTGTGATCATGAGTTTCGAGCTTTTCCAGCGCCCTCTCATCTGCAACACCAGCTCTCACACAGGGAGACAGACAGACGGAGCAATTCCAATGGAGACGTAGTGGCTCATTGCAAGTAGGGGATTTTATCGTCTTCACCCAGGGGCATCAAGCTCTCACGAAGATCTGCAACTGGGGACGAATTTATGGCGTGGTGGAGCAGCGTCCTTGCTCATGAGCCAGGAAGGGAGGGAGGGAGGGGGGATGTTGGCCATGGTCTGGAGTGAGTGAGGGGGCTTGGATGAGTGATGATGCTGCCATGGCGATCACGTTGAGCATGGCTTCTTCTGTCAGTGGTCGCATCGAAGCTGAGTGAGTGGCCATGGTCGCTGAGTCCATGTCAAGGAGCATCATCGAGGAGGCATTGCGATGCGAGAGGTCGCATGGGATTTTGCTTCCTGCGTGCGTGCGTTCGCGACTAATGACGCCAGAACAAACTCGCGGCAGCGTCTGCATGCACGCGGCGTGCCGCGCCGCTGCCTAACTCTGGCTTGAGCCTCCCTTCATCACCACCACACTGTGTTTCCAGCTTATTTTTCACTCCGCAGCGATCAATTTAAGGATTACAATTTTTATTCTCTTTAACAAATTGTTAAGGGTGATTAGGATTTTGAAATCTAGGTTGTGAAACGGCCACTTTGGTGAAACAAAGTCGGAAGCATTCACATATTTATAAGAATGATGGCGACAGAGTTTTAAAACCATGGTGTATTCGATGAAAGGGACTAAATTTGTTGGCACATTCGTAAAAGAGTAATAATAACAATGAAGTTTTATGTAGAAAACATAAGAAAAAATTTGTTTCGAAAAGATTGATTAACTGGTAATAGAAAATTATAATTCAACCCACCTAAACCTTTCTCAAAACATGTTTAGTCAAATACAAATTGATGGTTTTCTAGCTTAATAATGCAATTGCTCGAATTCTAAAAATGTATATTATGTTATCAAATGATATGAATAAATCTTTCTTTTATTGCGCAAGGTAAGTGCTCGTCCCTGGGACACTGTGGATGGACGTAGATATGCACTTGCAGCAGTATCGACTCCACCCTCCTCTTCGAAATCACAATGCAGTAGCAGAAATCCTAGAACATTACACAGGGCTTGAACAAAACACATACCGAAAATTGAATACATATCATACAACTCAGAAATGGCAGGCAGTTAATACATCTACGAGGTAGATGGTGTACATATAGAAGATTGGAAGAGTTTCTCCCAACGTACGAGCATCTGCCTGTCTATACAGTAACCGGTTTTAGAAGCTGCAATCGTTAATCCCGAAGCGTCTGGAAAAGAATCCCTATGAATGTTTCCTTCCCAAACATTATACCGCAGGAACGGAGCTCTTGCTTCCTCGAGATTCGAGGCACTACTCTACTATTACATCTGGTAAGTAGTTACAGTAAGCAAGAGAAAGGGAAATAGACCCAAGAGAGAAACCTTTGCTGAAGTCTCAGCAGAACTTGCCCTCAAGCAGAAAGCAGCAACCACACCCTTCCAACCAGGCTCCACAGAGAGACCAAGGCGCCTGTTTACATGTGGAGAGGTAGAGCGGTAGAACAACCCAATGTTTCCCTGAAACGCAGTTAGGAAGGCCTCGCTCTACTACCCTACACGGAAAAGACTTTACAGGAGGAGGAAAAGAAAAAGGAAAAAAGAAAAAAACACACATACACCAGTTATAACAAGGTAAAAATTGTACAGGTCGCCCAAAATGCACAATTTCGACAAATGCACAATCAAATAGTCTCAAGCACTTTCTCTGTAAACACAAATTAGCATCCTTAGCATTCTTGGTCCCAGATAGCACAGCCTGTACCGATTTGAAAACTTCTCCCATGATATGATTGTTGCAGCTGCTGATGTTGATTGGTTGATAACCCATTCTCAGCGATTCATTTAACTAGCGGAGAGGACCACGATGAAGTCCACTCATCTTGCCACGAAATGATACTTCGAGTATGGTAAGATTGATGCTTAGTCTGTTTACCAAAATATTGAAATCAGCTGAGAATTAGTTTTTGGGTGCCTTCCCATTTCCAACTGGCACAATGGGGGGTCCAAAGAAAATGGAAAAGCTTTCTGGAGGATTTTGAGTCTGGCTCGGTGGAGTAGGAGATGGATGAGGCAGAGCAGGAGCTGTGGGAGTGGCGCTCGCAGTTGCAGAAAAATTAGCTCCACTCGCAGCGCCAGACTCGGAAGAAACGGAGACGTCTGACCCAGCAAGGGGATTCATTGGCCACGTGCGGAGAACTTGTGAGGGAAACGTTGAAGTGCTGATGCCACTGCCGCCATACATACCCGGTCTGCTCTGCGGCCGGATTCCAATACCGCTCATGTCACCACCAAATCGTCCCAACTCAGACCGGCTCCAAAACACCGCACTTCGCCGCTGGTCCCTCAAATAAATGTTTCTCTCTCTCGACGCAGAGACCACAGTCTGGCCAGCACCATGGGTGGAGGGCTCACGCGTTTCACCTACTCCCCACGGCGATAAGTGGCTCCTCCCTCCTTGAAACGTCGGCAAGCTCGACCGTGGTCCTGAGCTTGGACAGTTTTCTGCAGAAGAATTACCTGGGGAAGCAGTAGGCAACACCTGAATCTTCTCTAAGGAACCGTATCTCGACTCTGCAGGAAGGGGACTCATAGCTGCGGAGTCTGGGAGAGTAGATGTGACGCTGTGGCTACTTATACTGCTGCGCACATCTGATTCGACATAAGCAAGATTCGGACGCTCTAGTGAGGCACGAAGGGTGGGTGCAGTTGTCCGCGGAGGGAGGTTGCGAGAGAGCTCAAGATTGAAAGATGATAGTCCACGAGGAGTGGCAAGCTTCTGCGGAACCCTTTGCATGGACTTCTTCAGGGGATAATCTAAACTGAGCGCGCTCCGGCTGCTCATGCTGCTCGAGCTGTAATCCGTTTCTGGTACGTTTCCCAGATTGCGGTCTCCAAGCCTCTGAAGCACAGAGGATTTGTCCCGGGCTTTTGCTGCAGCAAGAGAAGCTTCTTGTGCGTTTAGCTTTGCCAGTCGCCATGCACTGATCCTCACGTTTCCTGACGGTTTCTTTCTGGGTCGCCCAGGGGCATCTGGGTCCACAGTTGAAGGCAGCCTGCTCGGTACCATATCAGGATCCTCATCCTGCCAATTCAAAAAGAAAGGCAACAAATAAAATGTCTCAACAAAGTATTACATCATCTTAAATGGTATCAGTTGAACGAAGGTAAGAGAAGTCTTGAATGATGACTTTAGGGAAAACATTTAGCGACCTGAAATTGGTCCTGAGAATGAAGGCTATCTTTCACAAAACAAAACAAAGCAAAACAAAATCCAATATTCGGAAATATTCGAGAATACATTTCTTGGTGAAAAAGCGCATCATGCATGTGCTGTGTTAAGATATATAAGGACTTTAATAATACATGGTGCGACCAACATCTTAGATGTTCATATAGGCCAATGTCGATGACTTATTATAATCTAGATTACAATTGCATCCCCGTAGATGTGTGATACCTGGTGCTCAACAAATATGCGAGGCGGTGTACACCAGCTACCACCTCCGCGGATTTGAATCCCGATTGAGCTGGCTCCACTTATACCAGTCGTTGTTGAAGCACCAGGTGAGGATAGATAACTATCCTCCTCAGCGCGAGTAATGGATTCGGCCTGAGCTTCAGCCTGGGCTCGCATAGCCACCACATACTCATATGTAGAAATTCCCTGCAGGCATTAAAGAACACTCTTAATACTATTATGACGATTACCACAAACCAATTAAAATGCATCGCGGTTCCACCAAGGAGATGCGAAATGAGGGAAACCGTACCTTTCTCATAAGAATTAGATGAAAGAAAAAGAGTTCTCCTAACGGGATTGAGGCCAGAAAAGCGATCAGTGTGCACATCAGCTGCAGAGAATGTCAAACTCTAAATTAGGAGCACCACCCAGAGGTGAAAGGCAATAGCGAATTAAAGGACTGCATGAGTTTCGTAGCAAAATCTCAGGATTCCGTGCATCATCCGAGGTTGGTGGTTTTCATTCCAAAAAGGACAGGTAGATATTTACCACTACAGCTGCGAATGGAATCATGGAAAACCCATTCCCGAGCTTGTCGTATATCTGATCCAACGTCCCTTTCCTGTCCACAAAGCATCGTATAAAAACAGCCGCTCCTATTCCCCACTCAATCACAAGCTGCGAATCCAACGTGACAGTTCAGTAAGGTTTCTAGCACTCGCAAGAACAAAAATGCCCTAAATCATACCTAACCAAGAAACAGCAGCTTCGACTACAACAAGAGTATTTAAAATATTCAACATTTCTAGGAATATGAAGTTTCAGAGGCTCAAAGTTCCGCTTCATGAGATGATAATGTGCAAGTACGAATGTATCACACCTACAGCTCATCTAAACATAAAATGATGAGCAAAAGAATCATCAGTTCACCAAGAGGAGGCTTGTGGCCATTAGAGCAATAAACGTGGAGTAATTCTTCCTCCCTACACAGTTGTTCAGCCACTGCCACAGCCAAAATGGACACATGGATGAAAATGAGCCTAAAGTGAAACCTAACATGGAGAAAGCCTGATTGCAATGTAACAGTATCACTAGCCTTAAAAAAGAAGGAAAGATGTAAAGAGTAAAAAGTCAAATGATGGTCAATGTGATACCCGACAATGGTGGTCGAAGCCATCAACGCATTTATCGCAGCTCCTACAATGCTTACTGTATTTGCGAACCTGTCGTCCAATACGAAACAACAGATCACTTTTAGCTTGACAAATTTACAAGCTATGGATTAAAGCTTGGAGCAATTGATCATAATGCTAACCAAGATTTTAGAAGTCTAGAAATAAATTTAAAATAATAATAATAATAATAATAATAATAATAATAAAATCCTTAGAACAAATTACCTCTGCATTGCAGAGAGTGCAAAAAAGAATATCTTCTTCGGGAACGGGATGTTCATATTTTTCCTCATTAAAACAGATGTCCTCTTTAACCACCCAACCACAGCACAGCATATAAAGCCCAGCGAAGGAGCATAAACCAGGGGCCTTATGCCAACCGACCCTGCCTTGCTCTGCATGTGATGCTTTTCTCCTGTGTTCTCTCTCTGATTGTAGTGCAGAGAGGGGACTGGATGTGACTGAGGACATGTCACCAGAAATCTGTGAGAAGGAGCTATTTTCATCATGTTTAGACAAGGGCCGATTCTTCAAGACACTCGGGTCTGCGGGGTCGATGCCTGAACAGCGTATGTAGAGAACTAAAACTGTAGCAAACTGCAGGTACAGATAATAACCGTTAATCACGCTACTAGTGTAACTGATCGACTACCGACTGATCCGAAGAGTGTACTGATGGCATCATCTATCCCCACAACACTACCAAATTTGAAGTAAAAGGTGTGGACGAGTCAGTGCTTACCAAGGGGGAATAAAGTGCGAAAGCTGCAGTCTCCAATGCTCCGATCCATAGAAAAGGAGCAAAGAAAACATAGAAAGCGGTCGCCAGAATGAAAAAAACTGTGATCGCCAAAATCTAGACATTATAAGACATTGAACGCTGTAAGTTCTGTGATCAAAGCTTCTGACAAGGATCATGACGCACTGTTGAATGGATACTTCCCTTTCCAAAATCGCAATTCCTCCCAGGATGTGGTGGTGTGTTCATGTGCTAATAATAAACAACCATGTACTCTGCCACCACTAAAAGTGCTCAAATCCATATGTAAAGACAACTGAGCGTTCTACGAAGAATCAGGCCACGACTGTTACATCCGCCTTCGTGTCCAGGCGTGTCTACAGAAAATCAGGCAGCGATGTGTCGAGAACTAGTAGCCAGGTAGGACAGGAGTTGCAGTAGGTGAACAATTCCACCCAGTACTTTTCTAATCGCCTTGAGTGAGTGAGATTTAGCCTTTCAGAAGAAAAGAAAAAAAGTATCCCAGAACAGATTTGGAATACTGATTCACGGCCCTTGCGCGGTCACTGCTGCGCGCACTGCCATTCCCTCGACTCAGCGAATTTCATATTGATGCAAATGATTGATCTAAAAAATCAAAATGGATGTAACAGGGACTGGCTTTAGACGGTCCGGAAAAAGAAACAATCAAGTCATGGGATCTGGCTTGTTTGCCGTCATTGAAACTGGCGCATTGAAGCTAAACAGTGCCTACCACCAACACGAGCTGCTGGTCTAAAAAATTCACCTGAAAACAAGATACAATCAACAATATTTTCAAACATATCTCTATTTGAAAAAAGAGGAGAATAGAATATTCAAACCTGGAACGTGTGCGCTGGAAGCTGCCAGCCATGACGACGCACCATTAGTTCCTGGCAGCATACGGTGGGCTCGACAAGGTAGCGAAGCCCGCATAACTAGCCAAGGGAAGAAGCTCCTCGTTTCCTCTCACTCTCAACACTACGAAACCCTTGAACACTAAAGTTGATCATCGTACCGAAACCCTACTCCTCTCGCTCCGTTTCTCCTCCGCATCCTTTTCCTAATTGCCATCATATTATTGATTTTATTTTATTTTATTTCGCTCGTTGTGATTCCCACTAAGTCCTTCAAATGTGTGAAGGTTATTCGTAGAGGAGAAAATAATATCTCCGACTTCCCATTCACTTCAATCTGCTCCAAAGAAATAAGGAAATCCCCACGAATCTCCACGAATCAATTTCAAGGCAACAAAATGTCGATACACCAGCCAAGAGAGAACTTTCATAGCCTAGCTCTGGGATGGTGACAAAGTATACAGCAGACCCTCAATCCCTCCTTCCACTAGCAAGCATTACACGACGAATACTGAGCAATTGAGCTGTTGTGCAAATTCGTTGGACTCTCAATGAGATCTTAGAGGTGCGAACTGATTGAGTTCTGATTGAAAACGGATAGTATGCTTCCGTCAAGGTGCAGGCAAGATACCTAAGGCCCTGTACACGGATACTACACAGGCGACAGCTAGCATGGAAACCCAATGCACCTCCGACCAACGCTGCAGCACCCAACTCTAGGGCACAAATAAAAGTCTAAAAGCTTTCCAGCCATCGGAGGAAACGAGGGAAAATAAACAAATCCTAAACAATTTTCGCATTACTATCCCGACCAACCTCGATGATCACAGAACACGAACGACAATGAGCTCCAAGGAAAACTACAACCGACAAATTGTTACGCCCTTCAGGACATATCATGCCATCACACGTCAAGGGACGAATCAAAAGGCCCTCACTTCTAAATCTCACAACACCACTCAAGGTAAAAACAAACGAACATACAAATTTGAAAAAAATCTGGAAACAAGAATGATTATATAAAAGAGAAGAACTACCCAATGCACACTAATGCGCAAGAAACCACCCAGGGCCTACAGAAATCGATGCAAGCGGATCTAGCAATTCGAAAAAGGCTAAAACTGTCACCTACGGGCAGCCACCTGCGCCAGAAACTCTAGAACACCCAATTCGGGAGGGGAGCGGTGGTGGAAATAGCGAGACGTTTGAATGCGAGGGCCGCGTGAAGCGTGAGAAGAAGGGAACACAAATTGAGGGAGGGAGGAACGAAGGGGAGGAGGCAAAGCAGCAGGTATTTGGAGCGCGGGCGCTGAGGAGCAGGAGCAAGGAGTCAGAGAAAGCTGAAGGATGCTGCAGAGTTTTCTTTTACGTATCTGCGCAGTTGTCTTGTTGCGCTCCAAGAGGAAAATGCTGCATCACAACGTCTGAAGTTGCGGAGAATTATTTCGAAATCCAGCTCCGAAAAAAAAAATAATACCCCCAAAATAACCTGCACAAACCCAAAAATAAAAATGCAGCGGGGAACGGGGGTTGGGGGGATGAACGACCAGTAGGTTTGAAAGCAGTGATGGTTGACAGTGTCGAGACCCAGATGTTGAATCCTCTGGGCATTTATGGCGCCTTGTTTCCTGTCTCTTCTCGTTCAATTGCGAGCTTCTCCTGTACCCCACTCCCCCCATCCCTGTCCTTCCGCCACTATCGCCATTCTCCCCCACCCCCACACACACACACTCACTTACACCCACAGTTACGCCTTACCTTCTGCTCTCTGATTAGTGAGGATGAATTCAATGCCGCTCAACAGTCTGCAATCTCTCGACGCCAAATTAAGTTTTACTCTATTGCCCACGAAGTTGTTGCTGTTGATGATGATGTTGTTTATGTTGTTGCTGCTGCAGCAGCAGCTGAACGAGAAGACGAAGCCTGGTGTTTTAGTGACGACTTTCTCCGACAATTAGATTTTTATTTTTATATTTAAAGCAAAACATTTGGTGGACACCATACGACACCACCCCCACGTTCTTAAATTTCGATGGCTTCGCATCACCTACCTCTTTCAGATGCTTCAGTTTTCTTTTCTCTTTTTTCCTTTGCTTCTGTGCACCGATCGACTGGAGGGCCACGGCTCCATTCCCAAGGCGAAGCATGCGTCGCCAAATTTCGGTGTCGTCGTCATGGTTCGAACTCTGAATGCACAGTTGCTTGAAATATATATATATATATATATATATATGAAAATGGACAAGCTCGGATTAAGCATTTTTTTCATACTCCATGACCCCACCCTCCACCATTCCTGATGCGAATATAAAGATACTTACGCGTATAAAAACCAATGTTCAAATATTGAAGAGTGTATATATGTGACAATGGCTAATGGACACGGACCGTCACTAATTTACAAACACAGCGCATTCCAATGTATTCCCGAATAATACATTTCCAGCACAATTTTTATTTTCTTCGTTTTTTTAAAATACAAGTCAAGTGGGTGATACTTCAATTCCATTGGGTCTCTCTGAAAGTGGGCCATGTGTGTTGACACATTAAAAGCCAATGGCTTTCCATGGACTTTGAGAAACAGTAACAACACCATGTCCCTTTCATCCACACACTAAAGCCTCACACAATACTTTTTAAACTCATCTATCAATTTGAACACCAAAACCAAGATACCTTGACAATATTAGACAAGCCGCTTACGAATGCTACGTTTCATTAAACCTCGTATCAATCAGTTTTTGTACTTAATACTTACGTACCATCCCATCAATACGGCCCCAATTTGTCAAAAGAAACCCTAATTTGTAGAAATATAATATTAATAAAAATATTATGAAAGAATAATAGGCTGTCGATAACTGACAGAGAGTCGCCTCATGTGTCTCGTACTCAATTATTTTGCAGATTTTCTTACACCGTCAAAAGCAACTGACACTGGGCTCTCACACAGCAAACCACAGCCAGCTTCTGTGGACTCAATAGACTTTAAAACATTAGATGATGTCCATCATCCCATTTAACATTCATCAACTTCATCCATTTTATCTCGTTCACTTTTTTGCTTCTATCTTTATAGTTCCACTTTTTCGCTTCTACACCCCCCCCCCATCGTTTTATTGTTTGCCTTACAAGAATAATCACCCATGTGGTGAAGAGTTTGCATCAAGTACCCCGTTTCTCCCAGTAAAATTCATGAGCCCCTTGCGTCCCCACATTCTTCCCACCCGTTATGCCAGGTGGCACAATGATTCTATCCTAGCTGGCAGTGGACATCTACGTCAGCAATCGTCACCACGGCAGCTGATTCCAGTGTGCTGTCGCTCTCCGATTCCGTGGGGAAAGGGGGTTGTGGGTTCATATTTTTAGGGCTGAGAAAACTTGGGGCTCATGAAGAGGCCAGGTTGGCACTGGGATTAGAATGAATACACTGCTTCCTACTTAGCCACAACCTTTCCAAAGTCGATCCAACTCATGAATCTTTTACTTTGAACGTTAGTCCATGGAATTTCCATGACAATTTACACAAGGGCAAGTAAATAAAAGGTTAAGTGGGGGTTTCGATGTCAAGTGGGAGACATGTGAGAGACAAAAACCCTTTCTTTTATGGACCTAAAATACAATGTTGATGGAAGGAACAGTAAAAAGAAAAGAGTTGAAGTACTTGAACGGAGCGAGCTGCTTTTTGGAGACTGATTGTCTCGTCAGGGACAACTTTGGTTTTGGTTTTGGGCTCAGTGGAGCAGTCAACCATGATCTCCTTTTTTCTGAAAAAGTAACACCAGTGAGAAAGCTTGGAACTATGTTGCCATATTAAGCTATAGCTGGCTGGGTGACGTGGCGATAAATGCCAAAACGGGGACAAAAGTTGGATCAGAGCCAGAGTTTCGAGGCCTTTCTTGTTTTTCTGTGCCCTAATGCCACGTAGGCCACGAGGAAGACTATCTTTGCCATTGCTACTACCCCACATACTACGGATGAACGACGTTCCTCCATACCAATAACCGTCTGTCACCATGCGGGTAAATTTATTAAATCAAATTCGGGTGGAAAATATACCAAATGAGCTGCAATATTAATTGGTTCTAGTTTATTATTCAATTTTATCTGCTAAGATGATTCTGAGTTTTATTTTTTCAAGTTGAACACCATGTAATCATTCATGGATTGCCATTTTTAATATAAAACAATGCATTGAATTCACAAAATTGGATCACGTCAAAAATTTAAAAACCACGACCAAGAAAGATCGACATTGTTCTCTTTAGCTATTTTCGATTTGGGAGATCGCAAGGCCATTGTTACAGCGAACCCACTCAAAAGAATTTGGCTCTTAGTAAGCCCCACCATGTTAAGGGACAGACACCCAAACTCATCCATCCATTTCACGTTCTGTTCGTTCTGCTACCTTCATGCGGCTGCTTTAGGCAGGGAGGGGGTGGTTCCCATCCACTCACACTTCGATTCATCCATAATAACACGGCATTCATTCTATAATACCACACATTCATCGATTTGAGCAGGCAGGTATGTAATGGCCAAGGAGACACCTGACAAGAGGGTCCAGGAGGGGCGGGTCCCACATCCCACTGGATTCCGTTTCTGTTCCCATCTTAGGTTGTGGTGGGACTGACCGGCCTACTGGCCAGTTGCTTCGTAGGCTTCATATCCAAAATTTGTGCTGCCCACATGTGGCGCCTCTTCCTTTGCTGAGCTCATGTTTTTAGTACCACTCCTCTCCCCTCGAAAAAAAATATCAGGAAAAAGGGAAAATAAAAGTAAAAGACAAATGGTGGAACTTAAATTTAGGGCGTTGTCGCATGTTATGGAAGCGTACATCTTTGTAATGCTCGTGGTTATAGATTACGATGAGCTGGAGTGGACGTTCTGTTGAATGAGATGAACGTTTGACAGATTATTACTGGTGGATGGATGACTGAGACAGTGTGTATGGATGGATGTTTGTAATGGGGAAGTTCTTGAGGTGCTTTGTGTTGAGAATGTTTAGAAAGACACAAGAGAAGTAGTAAGTAATACACACACACACAAGAGTAATAGTAAGTAATACACACAAGAGGGTTTCTAAGGAGAGAGAGCTTCACACATAAAAAACACTTGATCTAGTTGTGTCTCGAATACAAGAGGAGAAGGAGAGAGGATAAACAGTTCTTTTCCACTACATTCCAAATACTGTAGCTGTAATATTTATTATAGTCTACAATAAATATTATGGAGAGCGCAAGCTACATTTAATGCTCTCAATACTCCTCATCGCTCATCATAATATTTACATAATATAAAATTTGTATAGAATTATGATTTATACTTTTTTGTAATCTTGCAAGTTCAACAATTCTTGCCTCATTAAAACCTTATCTAAGAAAACCTTATTGTATTTAAGGACAAAACCATAGATGAAGGAAAAAGAATACAACATCATTTTCCTTAATTATTTAAAGAACTCATTAACTTTCTTATTCATGAAAAGCAAGTTGTTGCATACCAATGCCATAAGTAAGTTGATGATGGTTGCTTAATGGAAGAGCTTTGATAAAGAAATCAGCAAGGTTATTTGCAGATTCAATTTTTTTAATTATAAGTGCTTGATTAGTAATCAAGTCATGGCTATAACTAAAATATTTTGGATCAATATGCTTTGTCCTATCATCTTTAATGAAACCAACTTGCATCAGTGCAATACAAGCACTATTATCTTCATGCAAGATAGTTGGAGAATCATCATATAAAAATCCACACGTTGTTTGAATGAATTTATCAATTGATCGCAATGAAATACATTCTCGAGATGCTTCATATAAGGCAATAATTTTTGCATGGTTGGATGAAGTTGCAGTTATTGTTTGTTTCATTGATTTCCAAGATTGCAACTCTATGTCTTAAAAATACATATCATGTTTGAGATTTAGTTCTTACAATATCAGATTTATATCTAGCATCACAATATCTAATCAATTTTGGAACTGCAGATTGTATATAGTATAATTCTAAGTCTTTAGTATTTTTTAAATAATGTAATAAATATTTGATACCATTCTAATGTCGTAGTATTGGACGTGCACTATGTCTTACAAGAATACTAACTACAAATGGAATATTTGATCTTGTAGATGTAACCAAATATAAAAATGCTCCAACCGTTGCGAGATATGGATATTGATCTCTTAATATTTTTTCTTCTTCTTCGCATGGACGGTATGGATCATAACCATTACGACCACATTCAACCATTAGTGTGAATAATGGATAAGCATTAATCATATTGAATCTTTGTAAGATTTATCTAATATACTTTAATTGGTAGAAAAAAATGCTACCATCTATTAGATGCATAATCTGAAGACCAATGCAAAAAGTTTTTTTTTCCTAGCATTTTCATCTCAAATTCACATATAAGTAGGTTTTTTTTTATCTCATTTGATAAATAAACAAGAGATTAGTGGATCACTTACAAACTTATTTGTAATTAAATGATCTCAAAGACATTGATACCACATGCATCTAAATTGTTTTAAATCGTACAAGGCCTTATATAATTTAATACCATGATACTGTCTTCCAACAGATCCATTTGGAGTTCCTATTTCTAAACCAAGTGAAACTTTCATATAAATATTTGCATCAAGAAAACCATATAGATATGCAGTTACTACATCCATTAGATGTATCTCAAGGATGGTATGAATTGCCATTCCAATA